TGTCCCTCTGCTTTCAGATCTACGAGATGGGGTACACCATTTCCGTCTGGCATCCATATGTATCGGCTTACACCCTTCACGTAGTGACTGTTATCGCCTGGAATACTGGGAGTAGTACTTCCAAAACTCGCTAAAAGTAATTGTCAAATATTAGACGTAGCTGAGTATTTTTTTTCTTATGTTCTCTAAAACCAAACACAATAATTTGGTTAGTTTCGAGCTATTTTTCCTTTTAGACCCCAAAACATTTTTACAAGATTTTGACAAATTTATAAAATACATTTATTTTGCCACGCATTGAATGAATTAATTAATTATACTATTATTTTTATGAAAGACTCCACTATTTCCGGAGACAATATGAAGCTTGGTCCTTTTTTTATAGTCCATAAAAATAAATAAGACTTACAACATGCGGAGACAAGCAGTACTATTAAGACCTTCATGGTTACTAAACTCTATCTAGCCCACAATTCTTACCAAAGTCTTCTTATATTTATGGCCTTATATCAGTAATTGAACTAATACTTCAAGTTAATCACATAATATCACGGATTATGATACTACTGATGTAGTTACTTAATTTGCTAATATTACATACAGGCAGATTTAGTAGAAAAAAAGGCAATCCAATGTATATATTTATTGTCACAGTGTTAGAAAACATTAATATTTTTCTCATGTTATCGCACATGAAGGCACTATATAATTTAAAAATCGAAAATAAATTGAAAAAATTTTCGACTCGGGCAGGACTTGAACCGGCATCGTCAGCGTTCCGTGCTTTTGCTCTTAACAACAGCACGGAACGCTGAACGAAAATTTTTTCAATTTATTTTCGATTTTTAAGTCACAATGTTAGTTATGATACTCCTCCGGGACGGCTAAACAGATTTAATGAAATTGGGTTAGTATGTTTCATAAAGGGGATACCTTATCATTTTATTACTTTGTACAGAGAGATACTTTTAGTAAAGTTAATCACTTAATGTCACTTATACTTTGATACAACTGATATACTTATTTTGCAAGTATTGTTTACAGGCAGATTTAATAAAAGAAAAGACAATTCAAAATTATATAATTATTGTGTCGCGGTTACAGGTAAAATTTTAAGTTCTTAAGTTTTACGCATACTTTTCAGGACATTTACAAATCCACAACAATAAAATAAAACAACCTGTTGTTTCAATAATGACACCTCGTCGTTGGCCTGTACACGTCAATTATTCAATAGATAACGAAATATCTATCCTTAATAATACGGGGAAATTTTACATACAATCAATCAAAAAAGCAATTAAATGTTATCAAACATGATAGGTGATATACAGGAGGTCTTTAGTCTAGTAAACAAACAACTTCAAATAAAATACAATAATAGGATGTCCATCTTTTGAGGACTTGGTTCAAAGCTAGTTGGTTAGCTGTAAATCATTCGAAATTGGGTTATTTCGTATTCATCGCGACGTAAGCGCTGCGCTTGTGATGTTGTCAGATGTATTAAAAAATCTTATTAAACAACCATTTGCTTTGACTCGCTACGATGGTTCTATTTTTCCTATACTAAGTACGTATAATAATGAATCCCGGGCCGATACAAGACAAGTTCAAGACTCATAATATATATGTGGATCTGATATAGAAGTTTGTGTAGAAAACATTAAATATAAAAAATAAACAGCCTATGCATCTTTTGTTGCTACTGCTTTAGAGGAAGAATGGCCAATGAAACAAAACTAAAGTTATCGTATGCTACCAAAACGCAAGGGCTCTTCAGACGAAGTAAAATAGTTTCTCTAATAACGTCAACCTACTCAACGCAAATTAGTTAACAAGACATGTAGCTAATTTTATTAGCACATAAGCATTGAAGCTACATTGGGGGCTCCCTATCAGGGCGTGTTTCTAGTGGCCACTCCGAGCTTGCAACTGCGACGAGTATATCCCTAATGACGTTAACATAGGTCAGTGTTCGTTATGACTCGTTCGCGTGACAGCCTATGCTAATAAAAGATTTTTATTTTTATGCTGTGTTATACCTCCTGAAATATGTGAAAGTACGAATAGGATATGTTTTAGATTCATGGAACAATTATGTGGAATGTGTAAACAAGTGTCTTATTACGTGTTTGCAAGTAAATTCTCAAGAACCCGTGTGTCAAACTAAATACTGTCGGAAATTTACGCGAATCGTGCACATTAAACAATCGTGGTATACGAGTATTGTAGCTATATTGGGTATGGTTTTATCATACTGCTTTGTAATGTAGTATTTCCTATAATGGCAGGTTATGTGTAAATAAAAAAAATAATCCAATATTTTATTGTATATTAAATAAGTTATAAACACAAATATAACTTAGTTCACATTTTTCCTTTAGTATGGCCATTCAGATCCAGTGCCTAAGTCTATAGAGCCCGTACCTAAAAAACAACCAGATATTAAACAAGTATGCTACAACTGTTTCCTAATAAAGACTAATCATATATGCTGTTATTATATGTGTTGGTATTGGTTTCATCGTAGTGTCGAGCTCGTTACTTCGACTTGGTTTCTAATTATTATTTTCATAAACATGTTTGATTTTGTCTGGAAATGTGGTTAATAAATAAATATCACGTTTCTTAACGAAACAGGCAAAACGTTTTATACCAAATACATTTACAACGTTCACTAATAAAATAGATAGCTTAGCGAATGCACATCAAAGTTAAACTTTTAACACTTTAAATAACCGAAAGAGTTAAATCTTTCAGAAAGTTATTGCTCGAAGATGCTGGGTTCAATACGTTAATTCTTCGGTCGAGCCGAAACAAACGAAAAATCTAGAACTGGTGATCGAGAATCCATTGCTTAAACGTTCTATAGACTTCACAATTCTTTGCTGAATTGCGTATTTCCCATATGAAGTTCGCCGCCATTGCACAAATTGTTCTTAAGCTCGTCAAGATCCTCACACCTGATTCCTATAAATCTGTTGTATCTGATGGTCGCTGTAAGGAACTCATTACTTCTACTGTGAGAGCAAGTACTGTGTGTCCAAATATTACGGATTATGATACTACTGATAAAGTTACTAATTTTGCTAATATTACATACAGGCAGATTTAGTAGAAGAAAAAGCAATTGCATGTATATATTTATTGTGACAATGCTAGTTACTATACTCCTCCGGGACGGCTAAACAGATTTAACGAAATTGGATTAGCCTGTTCCCTTATCCCTAACATTTTTATTGCATAAAAATACAGTTAAGCTTAAATTTGCGAGAAAGGAGGCTAAAACTTGGCGATAAAAGGAGTGGCGTCGCGTTTCTCGCCAGTTCTCCACTTCGTTCTACGACCTTGATTTGAAAATGGTAGTAACTGTACATTTAAAATCATTTCTTCTCTCTAATCCTCATAAGTGAAGTTGGTGAGTTAAACACATAAATTTATGAAACAGTTTACATAAAGAAGAAGAACGAGACGACCGTGATATTTATCGTTTGTTATTTAGAATTATTCTTAAGTTTGCCGCGTAATCATGGGACATTATGTACAAATCCACTGCAATAAAATAGAACACACTGTTTAGTAATTTATTGTTTAAATTTTGGCGCCTCATTGCTATGTACACGTTAAACGATTATTAATTCGATAACGAAATATCTATCCATAGCGATACAGGGAAATTTTTCAGGAAATCCAAAAAAAAACACTTAGCAAGTATCGAGTTTGACAATTTTTTAAGCATTATGTTTGTATTTTTTAGTTTGGTGACAATAAACCAATTTTTTTTCTTTCTTTCAAAACCACTTTTTTACAAATACGGTAGTGTTTTTTAATGAATAAGTAAATGATTATACGCACTTAGTATAGAAAAAATATTAAGTAAGTATCGTGTAGTCGTGTAGGAATACCCAATTACGAAATCACCCTAATTCTCTAGATTCACAGCTAATTCATAATTTGTCAGAAGATCCGTGGTCCGCTAAACTAATTTCCGGTTGGTTAGAGTTTAATTCGCGTTATTAAAACAACAGGGTGTTTTAGTGTGTTGTTGTGGGTTTGTGAATGTCATATAATTTATGCGGCAAACTTAAGAATTGTAGAAGAATTGTTTATAAGGATCATTTAAATAGGATTTATTATTTGATACATCTTTTTTTGGGTACCTTGAATGGTTCTTGCAGTGTAAGCCTTGGAAACCCATAATGATATTTTTGTTTCCGTTTTTTTTTAACATTACCCGTTGTTTCTTCGCTCCTAATAGTCACACCACGATGTGTTATAGTATATAGCCTTCCTCGATAAACGCTCTACACAACACAAATATAATATTTCAATTCGAAAACCAGAGATTAGCACGTTCAAACAAACAAACAAACTCTTTAGCTTTATATATTATTATAGATTTACCAGAAATGTATTGCAACAGACTTACATTTACTAGAGCAACAGCACGGAACGCTGATGATGCCGGTTCAAGTCCTGCCCGATTTATTTTCGTTTTTTTTTAATTACATTTACTACCAGTTGTCAAATATAAATATATCGCCATGTTTCATTTTACGAACTTTAAGTGAACTACTTCTTTTCTCTTGTTAAAGCAGGGTCCTTCTTCTCTTCAAAGAGATCGAGAGAAAATTTAAGTTTTTCTGTATTTTTAAGGACACATTGTATAAATAATCTATTTTCTACTACTACTCTACACTAAAAATGTAATGTAAAGGTATGCCACCTTTATTACTCTATCTCTATTATATAAAAATTTTAAGCCGTTAGGGAGGAGTATCGTAACTCACCGCGACACAATAATTATATGATATTGGATTGCCTTTTTTTCTACTAAATCTGCCTGTATGTAATATTAGCAAATTAAGTAACTACATCAGTAGTATCATAATCCGTGATATTATGTGATTAACTTGAAGTATTAGTTCAATTACTGATATAAGGCCATAAATATAAGAAGACTTTGGTAAGAATTGTGGGCTAGATAGAGTTTAGTAACCATGAAGGTCTTAATAGTACTGCTTGTCTCCGCATGTTGTAAGTCTTATTTATTTTTATGGACTATAAAATAAGGACCAAACTTCATATAGTCTCCGGAAAATAGTGGAGTCTTTCATAAAAACAATAGTATAATTAATTCATTTATTTATTCATATAATATCAATGCATGGCAAAATAAATATATTTTATAAATTTGTCAAAATCTTGTAAAAATGTTTTGGGGTCTAAAAGGAAAAATAGCTCGAAACTAACCAAATTATTGTGTTTGGTTTTAGAGAACATAAGAAAAAAAATACTCAGCTACGTCTAATATTTCACAATTACTTTTAGCGAGTTTTGGAAGTACTACTCCCAGTATTCCAGGCGATAACAGTCACTACGTGAAGGGTGTAAGCCGATACATATGGATGCCAGACGGAAATGGTGTACCCCATCTCGTAGACCTGAAAGCAGAGGGACATCCTGTGGATCCAAAAACCGGCGCTAAAAACGAGTACCGTCTCTTCACGAGGTTAGGCTTTCTTGGAGACCTTAAGGGAGATTAATAGTTTTTATAACTAAAATGGTATCAAATGCAATTTCACATTTTAAACCGTTAAAATGTATTAATTAAAATATTCCAGGTTTAATCAATACAACTACCAAGTTCTGGAATTCAACAACACGAACTCTGTCCGTAACTCAAATTATAATCCAAACAAGCCTATCACAGTCATTGTGCATGGCTTCAACAGTGATGGAGACGCAAGCGTTAATCAAATGGTACGCAATGCCTTGATGCACGTTGACTTCTACAACGTGATCGTTCTGGACTGGTCTAAGAGTCTCAGCATCCTGTACCCAGTCAGTGTAGAGGCAGTGCCTAGCACTGGTGAATACCTCGGAAAGTTCCTGGAATGGCTGATCGATAATTTCGGAGGTGACTGGTCTAAAGTGCATCTCATTGGCCACAGCTTGGGGGCTCATGTTGTTGGAAATGCTGGACGAGCTGTAGGTGGACGAGTGGCGCGTATTACTGGTGAGTCGTTTTAAAGGATTTTTTTTTAATGCAACCAACAAAAAATACCGAATGGGTTTGCGATCCATATTTTATTTGTATTGTGCTTTTTCATGTAAATATATCGAAATAAGAAATCTAATTGATGAAATGGTGAACTCATGAAGAAAAAGTGGTATTATTAAATGACTTGAACTATGAAATTTATTAAGACTACAGCTAATCCCCGTAATCAATATTTTTAAGGTAAACTGTAGTCATTAATTTCAATCAAATTGTTGTCAGGCTTGGATCCAGCTGGACCCGAGTTCGGTGGAAGCTCACACGCTCTAAACACTGCCGATGCTCAATACGTCGAGTGCATCCACACAGATGGAGGCCTATTGGGTATTTACGACCCCATATGCACGAGTAACTTCTACCCAAATGGAGGACGAAACCCTCAACCCGGTTGCTTGCTCAGCACTTGCTCTCACAGTAGGAGTTATGAGTTCCTTTCAGCGACCATCAGATACAACAGATTTATAGGTATCAGGTGTGCGGATGTTGACGAGCTCAAGAACAATTTGTGCAATGGCGGGGAACTTCATATGGGAAATACGCAATTCAGCAAAGAAGGGTATGTATAGAAGATTTATTTTTTCCGGCTCGACCGCAGAATTAACGGATTTGAACTCAGCAACTTCGAGCAACAAATGTCTGAAAGGTTATTTAAAGTGTTAAAAGTTTAACTTTGATGTGCATTTGTTAAGCTAGGTCTAATTTTATTATTGAACGTTGTTAATGTATTTGATGTAAAACGTTTTGCCTGTTTCTTTAAGAAACGTGATATTTATTTATTAACCACATTTCCAGACAAAATCAAACATGTTTATGAAAATAATAATTAGAAACCAAGTCGAAGTAACGAGCTCGACACTACGATGAAACCAATACCAACACATATAATAACAGGATATATTATTAGTCTTTATTAGGAAACAGTTGTAGCATACTTGTTTAATATCTGGTTGTTTTTTAGGTACGGGCTGTATAGACTTAGCACTGGATCTGAATGGCCATACTAAAGGAGAAATTTGAATTAAGTTTTATTTGTATTTATAATCTTTTTAATATACAATAAAATATTGGACTTTTTTTTATTGCACAAAACCTGCCATTTTAATAAATACTACATTACTAAGCAGTATGACAAAACCATACCCAATATAGCTACAATACTCGTTTAAGAAAAGATTTTACAGTTAGCAAAGGATTTGCTATTTCACCGTTTCGGATGCTTTGCAGCAGCCGTGGTCAAGGGGAGATTCTCTGTGCAGCGTTGAAATGTCTATATGAAACGTATTGTTGTTTTGTTTTCATCTCTCAACTATTCAATCACATAGTGCTACAACTAAGTGTAGCAGTGTACAGCTTTCAAATACAATAATGTTTTTTAACGCAGTTATAATAATTTAAAAGCTTTCTCTATACTAAAAAAGTGATAGTTCATATATATTAAATTATTTTTGTCTCTCTCGATCTTTTTGTGCACCTAAAGTACGAGAAGACTACAATGAAACTTGGCGATAAAAGGAGTGACGGCGAGTTTCTTGCCAGTTCTTCTCGTTCGTTCTACCCTTGATTTGAAAAGTGGTAGTAAATAATATTAATTTAATTTAATCAAATTCGAAAATCGTTTATTAAATGTACATATTAATAACATTTTATAAAATTAATAAATTTAGGTGTCATAAACCGTGTTATTTGAAAAATATTACGGGATATAAATATACGGGAGTAGCACATATATAAATAAAATACTTTAACGGTTTAAAACGCAATAGTTAATCTATTTAAAAAAACTTGCTTATCTACCTAGGTTCTTATTATTATTTATTATTTTAAGTCGTTGTGGAGGAAAATTTAAACATCTAAATAAATAACGTCCTTTTATGATAATATTAGTAATTGTCTCGGAAGCAAAGTCGTTTATAAAATTGTCTACCTTGAAATTACTAATGAAACGCTTGTGAAACTATCAACAGCGGATTGAATAGTTGTTTAATCGATGGTAATTTAAAATAAAATACGAAGATGAATGGCACTGTTTATTTTATACTTAAGTAAATATAAATTATAGTAATTCAATATCCTTCACTTATTTACTGTAGCTGTTTGAGAGAGATCTTTAATCTGTACAGTCCAGTTCTGTAAATAAATAAAATTATAAGTATAACACACGTAAAATTTTTTCATCGCAATTTGGGCTAAAACATAACTTAAGTATTTACAAGTGTGAAATCCCGTTTCTCCTCGTGGGGCACAGGGCGAACACACATCTGAGTCCGTTTCACTGATCGGTTTTATTTACAGGCAAGTAGTTGATCAGACTTCTGTGCCCTGCCCGACCGAAACAATTTACTGTTTCCCGGGATTCGAACCTAGGACCTCTCGCGCTTAACGCAATGGTTATAACACGTGTAACCATTTAAATAAAACACTTTAACGGTTTAAAACGCGATATATTAGTTAAACTTATTTGGAAATGATTTTTAACTTCGGCCCGACGTTTCGGATGCTTTGCAGCAGCCGAGGTCACGGGGAGACTAAAGATGGAGGATGTCTCTGACGTCAAAGTAAAAATTGCTACGCTAGCGCCATCTGTTCCGTCGAAGTTGGTATTTGGCGAAACTGGCCGGGTCCTTGCAGAAGCTGCGCTTCTTAATCCGTTAAAAGTTTAACTCTTTTCAAATTATATTTAAATAATTTGAAAAGAGCTAGCAACTAACTGAGAGACTAGCCGTCTTAAATATCTTATTTTTATATAAAATAAATGAATTAAGATCAAGTTCAGATCTCTAGTAGTATGACGGTCTCGTTGGCGTAGTCATAGCAATGTAAGGCTTAAAATCAACGCGTCGTAGGTTCGAACCCCACCGGATACAACGTTTTTTCAAAAAAAATATTTTAAACATGTTCGACTTTATATGGAAATCTGGATAATAATATGGGTGGTAGGAATATCGAAATTTAAAGGTTTGATCGCGTTTCGGTTCCGGTCTACAGACTTTCGAATATCTAAAGCTATAATAGGTTGAGAACGTATCTAGGGTAGATGTTCTGATGTTGTGGCTGGGGTATTTACCTATCATCAAGCGAACCCTATGTTTTCTATCCTTTTCTATAATAATAAAATCGTACCCGTTCTTATAAAGCTCGGTGTTTCCCATACGTAGTTGTGAACCATTGCATACATTGGATTTCAATTCATCAAGATTGCCACATTTGGTACCGATGAAATTGTCGATTTTGACGGAAGCCGAAAAGAATTCATAGCTTCGTGTATGTGAGCAAGGGCTGAATAAGCAGCCGGGCTGAGGATGTTTGCCACCGTTCGGATAGAAGTTGCTCTGACAGATGGGATCGTAAATGCCCAAGACGCCGCCGTCCGTGTGTATGCACTCGACGTAACGGGCGTCAGCGCCGTTCAGGGCTGCCGGGTTCCCTCCAAATTGAGGTCCTGCAGGGTCCATACCTGTAAAGACGTACATATTTTGATTAAATAATTTAATAATAGATAAAATATAGATTCTAAAATGGAAGGTATATTAAATTTACGTTAGGTCCTGAGTTTGATTATTTTTATTCGAAAACTAATTGAGCACGAGACTTCATCCGCATGAAATAGTTATTTTGGGCATTTTTTTAGATCAGTGAAAGAGAAGTTTTTAACCGTTTTCGCAGCGCACGTAATCGAAACCCTTGAAAATGAACGATTTTCCCAAAATTTTCCACATTTTCCTCTTTATTTTTGCTCCTATTTGTTGTTGTATATAGATTGTGCTTTTAAGTGTCCAGGATTTTTGCAGTTTTTTATAACGATTAATAAATATCATGTTATACATATTGAGATAGAAAACTGACCTGTAATACGAGCTACTTTACCACTGACAGCACGCCCAGCATTCCCAACCACATGAGCTCCGAGACTGTGGCCAACCATGTGAACACTGTCCCAGTTACCACCAAAGTTATTTATCAACCATTCCAAGAACCGTCCAATACGTTTTCCAGTGTTCGGAACAGCTTTCACGCTAGCTGTATAGCAAATGCTAAGACTCTTACTCCAATCGACCACAATGACGTTGTATTGTCCTACATGGAGAAACGCACTTCGCACCACGAGGTTCATGTTGGAATCTCCATTATTATTCCATCCGTGAACGATTACAGTTAGAGGTAGATTCGGATCGTAGTTGGACTGACGAACGGAATCTGAGTCATTGAATTTCAGTACTTGCTTCTCGTTGTCATTTTTTCTGTGGAAACGAGATTCAGAAATGTCAAAATTTGAAAATTGCTAACGAAGTACTCGTGTTTTTAAATTTTATTTCCTTTGTGTGGGACAGAAATCGATTAGTCTGACAATGTTATTAATTCTGCGCACTTGTTCGACTGATCTATAAGCAAGTATAAAGTTCAGTATAAAGTAACGGAGACGAGAAATATGTTATTGTGAATATTAAAATTATTATAATAAAGCATGAATATGTTAGTTATGGAATATATGCATAAATGAAAATTGAGCCATTGGTTTATTAATATTAAATTTTTAATTGTGTTTATAAAATAAAAAAAAGGGTTTTAAAAATATCGTGGAGACAAGTGGGAGTCGAACCCACGACCATACCATTACGTTATATGCATTCTCATGTACATAATCAAATATCAATTATAAACGTTCAAGTACCTAGTGAATAGCCAATATTCATTGTCATCCTCGTTCGTTTGCATACGAGGCTGTACCGGTGCTTGCAAATCTACCAGATGAGGGACACCATTTCCGTCTGGCATCCAGATGTAGCGGCTCACTCCTTCTACGTAGTTACTGTTGTCTCCTGGGATGGTGGAAATCCTACTACCAGCGCCATCTATTATTTTAAAACAAGTTACTATGATGACGCGTTAAATAAACACTTAAGATATTTTTTGGAGTTTGGAAATATTATTTTTAACACTAACACGAAATCAAGACGAACAATAATACTGAGTTCTTCATGTTGAGCATCTGAGAGTTTTCCCTATTACTCAGTCTATTTATTTGTACTAGACTTTGTTAACATCTGACGTTGTTCTCAGTTACAATTACAACTATCTTATCGTGAAAATAATAAACACATGTTTGCTTTGGCTTTGCAATATCGAATTTTTTTGACTTCCTATTATTTAAATAAAAAGTTAATGAATATCAATAAATTAATTACACGTGAGCGTTCAAATTTTAATTATTTTTACTTTGCAAATGGAAGATGTTAGTACTACCATATGGTATGTATTTAAAAGGATGCGCCATTTTTATTTTTTTTAAATAAAATAAACAATTACAAAACATTTTTTTTTTATTATATTCTACAATATTACTGAGTATAATATGCGTATATATTAGTGTCTAATTTTTGGCAAATAATATTATAAATCTAAGCTTCTTGCGGTTTTCAGCTGTTCGGCCGACGTAATTAGGATTTAGTTGTCGACGGCGAAACATACGCAATGACAGTAATGGCGACGTTAATCTCTTAATAGCAAAATGTCGACGACAAATTCTTAATTACGACGGCCGAACAGCTGCAATACCCAAAATGCTTCACAAAATGGCCCCTATAGCCGAATAATATATGTTATAAATCTATTTAAAATTAAATAATTTAATATCATTCTTTTATTTATTTAAATGGCCTGAAACCTAGTGCCTTGATCACAATTTCTAAAAAGGCCAGGTGTCGCCAGTAGTGAGACTGTAGAGTCCACTCCTGAAATATAAAATATAATACCATTTCATCAATTCAATACTACAAAATAAAACAATAATATCGCTTAAGAACTATAGTTAAGTTTAAATTAATATATGACGTATCGAATTCAAGAGATTGTTTTTAGTACTGCTAAGAAAAATTATGGAAAACATTCAAAAAAAAATGGGCCCGAGGTTTCGGAGCAATGCAGCAGCCGTGGTCGTGCAAAGCATCCGAAACGTCGGGCCGAAGTTAAAAATCATTTTTAAATCAGTTTAACTAATATATCGCGTTTTAAACCGTTAAAGTGTTTTATTTAAATGTGCACTACGCGCGTTGTCAGCGCATCTGACTTAGATGTTATAAGACTGGGCTTGTTTGTCGTTATCTATCATAAAAAAACTTACCCTCGTTTATCAAAATCAATATTCCCCATGTTGTGACTTGCACCCTTGCAATTGTTATTGCGAACATCATCAAGACTCATGCATTCAGAGCCGACAAAATTATTAAATCTGACACTAGCTGCAAAAAGTTCGTAAGCGCGGCCATGGGAGCAAGATCCCACCGGGAAGCAACCAGGCTGCGGGTTCCTTCCGCCGTTGGGATAGAAGTCCACGTCACCGATCGGTTCGAAGATTCCCAGGATTCCTCCATCTGTATGAATAGCCTCAACGTAGACGCCGTCATTTCTATTTAGAGCGTAAGAGTTTCGATGCCAGCCGGGTCCGGCTGGGTCCAAACCTGAAAATCACGTATTTCATAAAATTTAAATAAAACAGATTAACGGTTTAAAACGCGATATATTTCTTAAACTCTCCGTGACCACAGCTGCTGCCAAGTATCCAAAACGGCAGGCCAGAGTTAGAATAATTTTCAAATAGGTTTAACTAATATATGAGATATGGTGTTTTAAACCGTTAAAGTGTTTTATTTAAAATTTAACAGTTTGTTCCTTAGTTTAAAGTAATATGTTTTGGAATAATTACAGGATAAATATTAATTAAAAATCGGTTTTAGAATAAAAAAAAATCGTACAGGGTGGACTTGAGCCGCCATCCGAAGCGTTAATTGTGTCCATGTAAAATTTTATTTTGTGTTTCGTTTGTTTTTGGTTTATCAACACAAAGTATACCGACCTGTAATTCGTTCAACACGACCACCGACTGTTCGAGCAGCGTTGCCAACTATATGAGCTCCCAAACTAAATCCAACTAGATGCACGTTCTTCCAGCTGCCTCCAAAATTGTTCAGCAGCCACTGCAAGAAACGACCAAGATGTTGTCCAATACTTGGAACGGCCGCAGCTGAGTCCGTGTAAAATTCACCAGCCACCTCACCCCAATCCACGACAATTACGTTAAAATCTCCAGTCGCAAGTAAGGCATCTCGAATCATCGGATTTAATTGTGAGTCTCCATTACTGCCCCAGCCATGGACGATCACTTTTGTAGGCTTGTAACCGTCGTAGTTGGAACTCCAAACGGAATAGTGATCGTATGGAACCATAAGTTGATGATTTTGAGGGTTTTTCCTGTAAAGTATAAAGTAAAGCTGTAATAACTGAATCTTGTCTTGTATCGAATATGACGCTGTTTCGTGTTCAAGGCCAAGACTCACTTTTGGCCGCTATGCTAGCTGTGTAACTGAATCTTGTCTAAAACAGCTTTAATAGGTTGTCACTTAATGCTTACGCAGTAGAATAGGCCTTTTGGGCATCGAAGTTCATCTTTTTTAATTTCAGCTGTTAACCACGACGTCATCCGCGTCCCGTCGTACTTGCAAGTTAATCTTAAAAGATAGACATATTTTTTTTACGGATATTTTTTAGATGGTTTAAAAAGGGACAATTTTTTTTATACATATTTTTTGGGTATCTTAAGCGTTTAAACGCAGCGCACGCGACGGTAACCTCCAAAGACGAATAATTATTCCCTTTTTTACATATCATTTTGATATTACATAGGCTAAAGCTTCTAAAAAAATTTTCAACTAGAAAAAGCAGTTTTTGAGATTAGCGTGTTCAAACATACAAACGTACAAACTCTTAAGTTTTATTATTTTATTAGTATAAATGCAATTATGTTTTTTTTATAATACTTGTTATTTTTTTCGGTATTCCTTTTATCGGTATTATCAAAAAGGCGAATGACGTAAAGATGTTATCTGGAAAATTTTTGCAAGCGGTGTGGTAATTGCGCATATAAAATAAACACCATTTTTTCACATTTGACTTTTAATAATTTTACGTTTTGTTTCATTCATTATAACTACTACACGTGAACTTAAAAACATGGGAGGCATCAGATCGGAGTTAAATATTTTGTGTTTTAACCTGTCTAAAATAGTATTGTTTAATTTGCGATTTAAGTTACATCTTCGTTTTTACAGTTACCTAGTGATTTTAATCGCAAAATGCACTAGTAATGTTTTGTTTAACTTTGTCTCGACGTAGCGGATGCTTTACCTTATTGTAAAGCATCTTTTCGTGACCCATACTAATAACATAATTGACCAAATTAAACTGGCAAGAAACTGACCACCATACAACAACAAGCACACAACCTTTTAAGCCTACACGGCTTAAAAAAAATATCTTACCGATTTAAACAAAACATTTTAACTAAATATATATACGTTAAACTTATTTGAAAATTGTTTTAACTATCGCCCAACATTTCGGAAGCTTTGCAGCAATCTGGTCATAAGTTTAAGTAATATATGGCATATCATCGTCGACAACCTCTTCTCGCTCACATCGGCCGAACAGCCCGAAAGACAATGATATGCTGAACGATGGCCGTAAAAGCCTTACACAATTTAATATATATCTCGTTTTAAACCGCTAAAGTGTTTTATTTAAATGTGCACTACTCACAAACTAAACAACAGTAAAATACTGACAATATTTAATATCTTACCGAGTATAAAGCCAGTATTGATTATAAGCGCCTCTTCCCGAACTTCCTTTGTGAATGGAGGCTTGCAAGTCCACTAGATGAGAGACTCCATCTCCGTCAGGTATCCATATGTGTCGACTCTCTCCTTCTACATAGTGTGAATTATCTCCCGGCACTGCAAGAATCTTGCCACCAGCACAGACTGAAAATGATTATGTACGTTAAAACAATCTGCCGCGAGTAAGCTCTAACTTGGTTTAAAGTTAATAAAAATAATCTTACGTGCTACGAATGCAGGCAATATTATGAGAAACTTCATTTTTACTGCGCGCATTTTCAGCATTATCACGCAGTATTTAGTATAATTATGTAATTATTTCCAATCTTGTCTTATCGAAATCGATGCTTATGTTGTAATCAAGCTTGCGCAAGCGACCTACGTCGTCGGTTTTTAACTTATAAATTTTGAGAGGTTATATTTTATCTAAAATTTACGATTAAGGGTTAAAGTAAGAAATATTTGCAGTGAAAAAACTTGACAAGCCTTTTATTAAAATAGGATGAGAAGGCAGAAAATTCTTTCTCGTCCACTCTATACTAATATCGTCGAATACTCTATACTAATATATAAAGCTGAAGAGTTAGGTTGTTTGAACGTGTTAATCTCAGGAAGTACTGGTTCTAATTTTAAAAAAAAAATATAATTGTGTTGGTTAGAACTTTTATTGAGGAAGGTTAGATATATATCAAATATTAAGCTGCGACAATATATGATAGCAGTGAAAAAATACCGGAAAAATGTTGTAAAACCGGGGAAAACTATCTATCTTTGTGGGATTCCCTTGCGAACGATTTTAACATGGTTTAAGGTACCCAAAAAAATTTATGAAAGAATGATTCTTCTTATTATGATCTTAAAAAAAGTCGGCACTATGTGTCTATTGTTTTGCATTAACTTACAAGAACGACGGGACGCGTCCTACGTCGTGGGTAACAGCTATTTAAGCTGCTTTAAAGAGAGACAAGAGATTTGCAGAAACAAGATGCCGAGCTAGTTTACAATAAACGTTGTTCAATAACTTTCGGGTGGAAATATTGCGCAATATTTTATGGCCATTGTAATAGTCTTATCGACTAAGCTTATGATAGTATTAGTTACTTAAGAATTTTCTACGAAAATACAAAAGTATTACAAGCGAGTTAGCATTTTTGTGAATCTGTAAATATTGCAAACTTTCTATAACTTTAATATAGTCAAGTATTATGATTAAAACAATCGGATAGTGTAGCAGGAATACAGGAATTTAAATAAAACTTCGGGCCGTAGTAAAATTAAACTATAAAAGTTCACTAATAATATACTTCGCGTTCCAAACCGTCAAAAGTGTTTTATTTAAATGTGTCCTAGTCACGTAAACTACAGTTGATGAATAACGAAATTCTTTCCGTCAGATTGGATTTGTATTGTCACCTTTAAGTCAATGGTTCTCCGATTGTTCATAGCCAAATTAGATGAATAGCGTATAATAATTATTTTAATAAGATAAAATAGTGCATTTTCATTTCATTCATCATTCATTTATTCAGTCTTAATTTAAAGAGTTAGGTACTTACAAATAGTAAACTAAAGTATACTAGATATATGGAAATATCAATATACAAGTATTGATATTTCAATATATCTATACTTGTGTATTACTACAAGTAAAGGTGTTTCTTAATAATAAATTAATTTGACATTATTCAAATGAATCAATCTATACTAATCTGTACTATAAAATATAGATAAGAGTTTGTTTATTTGAACCCGCTAATCTCAGGCAGTACAGGTTCAAACTGAAAAATTATGTTTGTGTTCGTTAGAGCATTTATCTAGGAGGCTATATAACTTTGTAATACGAACAATCAGAACAAAAAAAACAGCTTGAATGTGGAAGAATTAGGTAAAATTATGCATCTTTGAAGGTTTCCATTACGCACATTGCGAAAACGGTTCAAGATACCAAAAAAATGTATGAAATGTTGCTCTAACCGATTGACACCTCATCTTCGAATTTTTTAACTTATTAATACATGCACCTCTCGCGCAATGTAAATTGAATTTTTTTTCAATTTATTTTTTCAATTTTTTTTTTTTTTTCCTTTTAAATAATCATATAGAATGTCCACGACAGATTATGTCTTTTAGAATTATTTGTAAGAATGACTGGCATCGTAGATAACGATAGCTTTAATTAACAGAGATGTGCAGGAGGTTTGCAAATTTTTTTTTTTTTTTGCATTTCGCCATTTTGCAGCATCTCCTGATGATGTTATTTACTTGTAATGGCGTAGCGTCGAAAACAATTTCTCGAATACGACGTCCGAAACCAGAGAAGCCAAGAACCTGAGACGCCAGAATATCTTTTCTTTACAAAATAATATTAATAAAAATTAATAACGCTACATCCTTTACCTTATACCTAATTAATGAGATAAGCGACTTATTATAATCTAATCTTAATTTTCCCTTTGTTCTAGAAGAGCTCATCCATATCGATATCTTAATTATATTATCTAGATTTGCTATTTGTGCAAGAATTTCTGCCCGCCCTTGACTTTTGGCTATGATAACGTTTGTAGGATTAGAATGGATTTAGAGCTTAGCGTAATTAATAACAGAAAATTTTATTGTTAAAACGTTGATATTTAAATTTTATTTCATCATTTGATACATTTTATTTATGTAGAAGAATTGCTTATATTTTAACCGCCTCATAGCGAATAGTTGAACGCGTTTGCAAAACATAGCATTAAGCACCGAGGTCCTTGGTTCGAATAGGGAGACATTTTTGTTTTGTTTGTAATGTTGTTCGTATAGTTGAGTAAAGATGATGTGAGGTCTTATTATATGTCTTCAGACCTGTCTTGAGTTTAAGAATGATTATTATTTCTTGATTCTAAAAAGTTATTAGCAAGTTATTAGAAACTAATATATATCACGGTTTAAACCGTTAAAGTGTTTTATTTAATAAGATAGTATATAGACTGGTTTTCCTACTTGTTAAGATAAAAATAAATTAGTTTAACATATTGAAATTCATTCAGTCTTAAGGATAGTATAATTATATAAATCATAGTTCTAGTTGTCATGGTTTTCTTATAGTGTTCTAGCTTGATTAGTTTTAAAACGGCCAGTTACCTCCAGTTGCCAAGCCAAAGAGTCCACGCCTGAAACAATGTAAAAGTTTATTCGTTTAAGAAGAGTTTGAATAAAAATAAAAGAGAATGAAAGCAAGAGCTACTAAACATTTTTTTATATTTATTATTAAAATGTACATCACTCTTTACTAACTATAAATTAATTTTAAAATCAAAACCTATTTAATATTCTTTTAAAGCAATGAATTTACCAAATTTTATGTTTAAGGAATTAATTTGGGTGTGGGCATTACTTACATAATTATTATATGATAATAATTATAATATTTTAAATTTTTTTTTTGTTTATTTAATTAGTTAGGTTTAGATAATGGTCGTAATTTTTTACTATTTTGGATATTTCTTTTTACATTATTATAATTCTTTATTGGGCATTAATAATGCATACAACCGTAAATTTTCTACATACTATATTAACAACATATTTTAATAGTCGTTTTAGTAATTCAATCATTTTTAATCCCACCCGATATCAGATTATATATCTCTTGGTAACATATCCCCATTCCATCTGTCCACCAGTGTAACTTTCCGACTAGTGAACAGCATGGAGTACGAATTAGTTTGAAGTATTACCAGAATCCTTACATTCTAGAAATTTCCTAGAAATAATTTATTTGGCAAAACAACGTTTGGTCAATATTGAGTAACGTACCCGCGTTTGCCCAAATACGCATTGCCCATTCTATGTTGCCCACCGTTACAGCGGTTGTTTCTAGCCTCGTTAAGGTTTGAGCATTGTCTTCCAACGAAGCGGTCGTATCTTATGCTCGCAGCGAAAAGCTCGTACGCACGGCTGTGTGAACACACGCTGGTCATACAACCAGGTTGAGAGTTTCTTCCACCGTTGGGGTAAAAATCAGCATCAGCTATGGGGTCGAAAATACCCAAGAGTCCTCCATCGGTGTGAATAGTTTCCACGTACACACCGTCGTTGCGATTTAGAGCGTTTCCATTTCCACCCCACTGTGGACCAGCTGGGTCTAGACCTGGAAACGATTATTAATTAGATTCTAAGTATTACAGATTAAATAAGTTGATGGCCACGAGCATTAATCATAATCTGAGGAATCCCTGTCTATGTCGGCTTTTTTTTCGATTGAGCTACATATATATTTGCTCTCAATAACATGAGAATACAAGATGCAGGAGTTTTACTAACCCGTAATACGAGCAGGACGACGACCAACAGTCCGGCCTGCGTTTCCAACAACATGAGCTCCTAAACTGAAGCCGATAAGATGAACATTATTCCAGTTCCCACCAAAATTGCCGATCAGCCAATTCAGGAAATTGCCTAGGTGTTGACCGACACCTGGCACTGCCCGCACTGACGTAGAGTAAATGCCTGAAGCAGCTCTGCCCCAGTCCACGACGATGACATTGAAGTCGCCAATTGCTAGGAACGCGTCACGAATCATTGGATTCATGCCTGATGAGCCTTTGCTGTTCCATCCATGGACGATGACTTTTGTGTGGAGCCGTGCATTGTAGTTGGAATTCCGGACGGAGTTTGCGTCGTTGTGTCTCAGCAATTGGTGATTAGTGGGGTTGCGTCTGAAAATATTGTTGGTGGTTTGGGGTAAGAAAAATCTCTTTGCTTCTTTCTTTCTAAAATAAAAATCTATACTAATCTCAGGAACTACCAGTTTGAAATTTTAAATTTGAAAAAATACTGTGGTCTATTTGAGAAAGGCTACAAAACATCAACATGTGACCCATATGAGCAAATAAACATTAGGTAGTGTGCGTGGGTATGCGAGTAAAACGCATAAATTCTTTTGCCCGTTTAAAACGCGAGATATATTACTACTTAACAAAATAAATTCTATTAGGTACAAAGTTTTCTTGAAAAGCTTACCTAGTGTAAAGCCAGTATTGGTTGTTAGCGCCATTTCTGAGTTCAGCTTCATTAGCTGGTTCCTGAAGATCCACCAGGTGGGGCACACCATCTCCGTCTGGCATCCATATGTACCGGCTTACACCTTCCACGTAGTGACTATTATCTCCTGGGGTACTTGGTACAGTAACACCGTTCGCGACTTAAATTAATTAAAAATATTTTAGATTTAGGTACTAACATAACTTCAACACTAATTGAAGAGGGAGAACTGTTAATGTTTTTATACACCAAATAAATTAAAATTAAACCCGTTTATTTAATTAAGAATTTCAGTAAATATTATTGTTATTATCTATTTTTTTATCTTACACTATACATCTTATATAATACATCCTAAATATAGAGTAAAATAAAAAATAGATATTTTTAATATGAATGCAAGAGAAGTACAAACAAAAATTGAGACGCTTAACGTGTTGTTTAAATAATATAATAATTTCAACCCAAGTCCTCCAAAAGGAGGGGGTGGGGAAATGGGTGAAATAGTCAGCAGATGGTATGGACTGATCACCCGGCCATCACATGTGTCCCCGATAGACAATAATAATAATAGTAAAATACACATAACATGAACTGCAATGACAAAAATGACTAAGTTATAGTAAAAATAATTAAAAATCTACTCACGGGCCACCAAGACAGATAACGCTACGAACAGCTTCATGTCTGCGAGAAAGACAGTATTCAAGGAAGTCAACTTCTTGTATTTATTGTTATGTCTATCTGGATTATTCAATCTTATCAACTTAATACTTTTCTAATTACTTGGTTTCCGATACAATTTTATCTCTTGCCAAACTGGGCTCTGATTCTATCAATGAACGATTTGTTTCAACTAATCATGGTATGAAAAATGAATGAAAATCATTCACTTATATTTTATTTGTTGCATTATCCAAAACGATGTTAATTTTAAATACCCAGAACAAACGACGAAGAGATAAAAGTAACTAATTGACAAAACTTGCATTAAAATACATACAAGAACATTCACGATCAACACGGTAGACTAAACAGTCTTTTCCTAGGCACTTGAAATTTGAAGAGTAAAAATTATGCCGAGTAAGGAGAAACTTGAATAATTATACATCTATTTAGTATATTTCCTTTATAATGGATCCATATTTATTTCATTTACCTGCACAATTTAGTTTCAGTTTTAAAGAGCGAACTCACAGTCGATCAAATGGAAAATCAGGATGAAAAGTACCATTGTTTACTAATTATTGAACAAAATATAATGATACGATACTATTATCATTCGTTGCTTTCCCTTTATTTGGGTTTTAAAGATTAATGTAAGATATATATGATAAGGTACATACTTTTACTTATCATTACAGAGTTAAAAAAGTTTTGTTTTAGAAGATCTTGTATTTTGTTTTTCGTAAGAACCAATCTCGTACTTAAAAAAATAACTCAAAAAGGGAAATTGGCTTTCATGCTCTTTATTTACTTCTAGCTTATAGTAGAGATAAAATACTTTGTAAAACAGATCATCGACACCCTTTTCCTTGTCCGTTTTAAAACGTAGTAGAAGTAGAACTTCAAAACTGCAACGAAATAGGCAAAACTGACAATTTGCGAAGTTCTATCTCACCGTAGAAGAAAATCTCTTAAATAACAACATCGATGTTGTTTTTTTGAGAGGTTTTACAAACATAGGTATATAAATCATATTCTGTCCTAAGTTCACTTTCATCAATAATGATTTTATCTGTAGCATATATTTATGGCAAAATAATTAATTAATTTACAAGATAACTGGAGAGATGTTAATGATAAAGCATAAGTAGTACTTAAGATAATTTTTGAGTTAAGGTGTGCTTTTCTATATAATTTATATAAAGTTTAAACAGGACAATTAGTCAAATTTGATTTAAACTCTAACCAATTGGGCTACCGAGCCCCACACTTCATCGTCGACTTTTTCCAACTTATTAATACCGCTCTAACATAGCGATAACCTCGCGCTATGTTAGAACAACAGCACGGACCTGTGTCACCTGTGATCAAGACCTATTTCGATTTTTGATTTATATAGTGCCATCATGTGCAATAACATGTAAGAAATATTAAAGTTTGATAACCACTTTGATTTAGTTTAATATGGCCACTCTGTACCGGTTGATAAGGAAAGTAATATATCAATAATAAAGTTTTCAAGTAGTCCATATGTAAAAATAAGGGATTAATTATTAAAAATTCTATAATATAAGATATTACAATGATAATGTTAAAATAATTATTTTAATATTTATTTTTAGTATATTTTTAGTATATAGACCGTAGTTTGTACATAGTGGTATGAGAGCCTGTTAATGCTTTTCATATTATTTAATGAATATTCATAATTATTTATTGAATTTTACAAGATATGTATCTATTAATAAATTCTTTGGTATTTCTTATGTACAAAGATTTATATAAATTGATTTGAATAATCTTAGCAATATTTTATTCATATATAATTAATAAAATTATTGCGATCATAGTTCGGGTTGTCATGGTCTTCTTTAGATGTTTTATCTTGATTAGTTTTAAAACGGCCAGTTACCTCCAGTTGACAAGCCAAAGAGTCCATACCTGAAACAATTTATTTTTCAGTGTGTGGGTTAATAAAATAACGAGTTCAATAGTCTATGAGAATATTAATTATTAAGGTTCAAATTTTACATTAGAACTAACTAACTGATTGAATGTATTTAAATTAATATATTCAATGCGTCAAAACATACTTAATTTTTATTTTGCAAGAAGCCATTTTTTTGCTTAAAATTACATTATTGTTATAAAAATAATAAGTAATATCAAGTTATTATTCGTTATTATTAATTTAATAGTAATGAGAGGAAATATTTGAAAATTGAAACTTAGGTAATTCCAAAATTGTATATTAATGCTTTGAGGTGCTCGGCCATCGTAAGGTTTTTTTTATATATTCCAACCAAATCGTAGGCCTAACAGATATAATATATTATGAGTAAACTTACCCGCGTTTGTCCAAATACGCATTGCCCATTCTATGATGCCGACCGTTACAGCGGTTGTTTCTAGCCTCGTTAAGGTTTGAGCATTGTCTTCCAATGAAATGGTCATATCTTATACTCGCAGCGAAAAGCCCGTGCGCACGACCGTGCGAACACACGCTGTTCCAACAACCAGGTTGTGAATTTCTTCCACCGTTGGGGTAAAAGTCAGCATCAGCTATTGGGTCAAAAATTCCCAAGAGTCCTCCATCAGTGTGAATGGTTTCAACGTACACGCCGTCGTTGCGATTTAGAGCGTTTCTATTTCCACCCCACTGAGGTCCAGCTGGGTCTAAACCTGGAAATAAGGTAGTCTTAGTAGAAGAAAAAATGAGGCATATGAATAATTTTACAGTTCTTCCAATATTATACATCAGAAACGATCAAATAAAAACCTAACCAGAATAATTTTTTATAGAGGCGGAAAGCCACTTCACTTGATGGTAGGTTAGAGCAAAACATCTAAACAAGAGGCGCTGTCGGCCTATTTTGGTTTTGGATATTCGGAAATATTCCTACCATCCATTTAACATCCAATTTATAGACGAATTCCAACGTGTTTCAGAAAAACTATAAAGGGATTAAAACAATGTTGGATCTAACTCACTGCTCGTTGATTATTACTCAAACATTGCTACCACTACACCAATTAGGTCGTAATACAAACGTATCTGGTCTCGGTAACATGACATAAGGAGTTATTAAGATTCAAGAGTTTCACCAACCGGTGATACGAGCAGGACGACGACCAACAGTCCGACCAGCGTTGCCAACAACATGAGCTCCTAAACTGAATCCGATAAGGTGAACATTACTCCAGTTGCCACCAAAATTGCCGATCAGCCAATTCAGAAAATGACCCAGATGTTGACCGACACTTGGCACTGCCCGCACTGACGTAGTGTAAAAACCTGAAGCTGCTCTACCCCAGTCCACGACGATGACGTTAAAGTCGTCAATGGCAAAGAAAGCATCACGGATCTTTGGATTCATGCTCGATGAGCCTTTGCTGTTCCACCCATGGACGATGACTTTGATAGGGAGATGTGAGTTGTAGTAGGAGTTTCGGACAGAGTTTGCGTCGTTGTGCCTCATCAATTGATGATTAGTGGGGTTGCGTCTGAAAATATTGTTGGTGTTTATGTGTGATACATACTCTTTTGCTTAGCACTCAATAGATCTAATCTAAAGATGATATGTCGTTGCCATAGTTACTATTCTTGTTACAATATATATTAATAAAATAGATGTGAATACAGTTCTTAAATAAATGCCATATTTTATTTATCTTTTTAATGACAGGTTATGAGCCCGTGGGTTAGAATAAATAAAAATTAGAATATATATAATAGTAACAAATATAATAATTCAACCCTTAACACGAGACACCTACGATACGTGGAAGATTCATGCACAAGCTCTGTTCACCAAATGCGAACTATAGGATCATATATGTAAGAATAACCCTACGCAAGTAAGAAATTATAAAATATAATAAAAAGAACAGTCTAGCTGTGTCCGAATTATTACTAATAATAGCTCCTAAAAATCAAGTGAAGAACTGTGAAACAAGTAATGAGCTATGGACAACTCTCGAAAATATTTACTACAGTATAATTGGACGACAAATTGCCTGTTGAAGTAAATGTATTGATCAAATGAATAAATCTGGAGCAAATTTTCTATCTCGTAGCGGCAAACAAGTATTATTTATTTTTTACAAAAGGAAAACATATTTTTGTTGTTTATGTCGTTAAATGAATGTTACGAAAAGTATTTTCTTGAATAGTTTACCTGGTGTAAAGCCAATATTGATTATTGGCGCCATTTCTGAGTTCTGCTTCATTAGCTGGTTGTTGTAGATCCACCAGGTGGGGTACCTCATCTCCGTCCGGCATCCATATGTACCGGCTTACACCTTCCACGTAGTGATTATTATCTCTTGGGATACTTGGTACAGTATCACCATTCGTGACTTAAATAGAAATAACCAAATTTTATTTTTTTTCATTTTAAAGATACTTTTTATACGAAACGCAAAAATAAATGTAAATGAATGCTTCTTTATTAAGATTTCGAGTAAAATTTATGGAATCAAAGAAAATAATAACTTAGTAACGGGCCTTTAAATCTTAATACCTCTATATTTTACTTCTTAATATGTCTATATAAAAGGTACGTATTATAGATTACATTATAATACCTACTTAATGTATATATTTGTTTGTTAGTAAAATAAGAACTTAAATATAAAGGAGTAAAGGTTTTCTACAAACAAGTTGTTGGACTCTAAGTTACAAAAAAGTTCTTGAGGAAAATTTTGCAAGATTTATTTAAAATTAGTAGATTAGATCCCTGCGCTGACCCTACACGGCGTTTGGGAGCGTCCCCCGGGTGGCGGATGGGGGAACGGTCGGTAGCACAGCCGAGCTACGCTAACCGGCTAAGTCCGAGGGACTCGTTGACCAACGTAGGGTGTGGCCCTCCAGCAATATGGGGGTTGTGCGGAGGGTTGACAGCCCGCCCACGGAAAAACTCATTGTTACGAATACAAACAAGAGAACTATACGATCCGATCCCAAACACAAACGACACTGGCATGGAACAACGGACACCCGATTGGCAACATGGAATGTACGGAGTCTTTATAGACCAGGAGCTATCTATCAGGTCCTACGGGAACTAGAAACCTACAGAATAGGGATAGCAGCTTTACAAGAGGTCAGATGGCCCGGCCAGGGCGATTGCAACATTGACAATAAAGCAACCCTATTCTATAGCGGTGCAGACTCAGATCACCATGTTAACGGTACTGGCTTTTTAATAAGGAACGACCTTCTAGGCAGCGTAATTCGCTTTGATGCAATTTCTGACCGACTCTGTGTTCTACGCCTCAAAGCCACTCTCCAATCACCATCATCAATGCATATGCACCAACGGAAACGTCAAGCTCCATAGCGAAAGACCAATTTTACGAGGACTTAGAATCGCTCCTAGAACAGCTAAATAGCTATGACGTCAAGATACTCGTGGGTGATTTCAATGCGCAGATTGTAGAGAAGAGGCTTTTAAACCAACTATAGGTCTACACAGCAAGCATAATAGGTCAAATGACAATGGTCTCAGGCTGATCATGTTCGCGGCAGCTAAATCACTCGTCATCAAGAGTACTATGTATCCCCACAAGGATATACATAAGGGTACATGGAAATCCCCAGATGGTACAACAATCAATCAGATAGACCACGTCTTAATTGACGACAGGCACAAAAGCTCTATCCAGGATGTGAGAGTATTTAGAGGTGCCAACTGCGATAGTGACCATTACATGCTCAGGGTCGAAACTAAGTTCAGGATTGCTAGAAAACATAAGAAAAGAGAACGCAAAGAAGAGATAATCGATGCCGAAAGACTGAAAGACCCAAAAGTATCCGACCAATTTCAGATGGACGTCAGCAACAGATTTAGTGGACTTAGTGTTGATGAAATCGAGATAGAAGATCTCTGGGAGACAACAAAAAGCTCAATCAAAGAAGTAGGTCTGGAAATTATCGGGAAAAGAAAACGGCAGAGGAAGAGAAAATGGTGGACAGAGGAGTGCGAAAAAATAGTGGAGGAAACCAGAACGTACCGTCTACTGGCTGAACAAAATCCGACATGGAAGCAGCATTATGACCACGTGAGACTGCAAGCAAAGAGAACGATCCGAAGAGCCAAGCGAAAACAGTTGGAGGATATCATCACAAACATGGAGACGCTGATGAGAGCCAACGAAGCGCGTAAGTTCTTCCGAGAAGTCCGTTCAGTTAAGAAAGGCTACCAACCCTCCACTCAGTCACTGCTCGACGATGATGGAAACCTTGTTAGTGACACGACAGAGGTGAAAAAAACTTGGCTGAAGTACTTCCAGGCACTATTAAATTGCCCTAAACCGAAGAGCCCAATTTCATTCACCGAAAGAGTAGAAAGTACGGAGGTACCTGCCCTAACGTTTGAAGAGGTAACGAAAGCGATAAGGAGGCTAAAGAATGGTAAAGCTCCTGGCATAGACGGTATACCCGCGGAAGTTTGGAAATATGGCGGCGATACCATACAACTAGTACTCTTCCAGTTGCTGCGCAAGGTTTGGTCAATGGAAAGACAGCCACAGGAATGGAATGTAGGTATCATTTGCCCCGTCCACAAAAAAGGCTGCAAAAAGACTTGCGCTAACTACCGAGGGATAGCCCTGCTACCGACAGCGTATAAAGTGTTATCTTACATACTCCTGGATCGACTCGAACCTTATGCGGAACAAATCATAGGTGATTATCAGTGTGGGTTTAGAGGAAATCGCAGCACAGTTGACCAAATTTTTCTTCTGAAGCAACTGATGGAGAAAAAATGGGAGTACGCTCAGGGTATACACTCACTTTTTGTCGATTTTTGCAAAGCCTACGACAGCATTGATAGAGAATCGCTTTATTCCATACTAGTCGATTTTAGAATCCCCGAAAAACTCATTACTCTACTGAAAGTTGCTACAAAAACCAGTAGGATGCGCGTCAGGATAGAGGGGGATCTAACAGAAGAGTTCGACGTGGTAACCGGGCTTAAACAAGGAGATGCGCTAAGTCCAATGCTGTTTAATCTTGCACTAGAACATGTCATTCGCAAAGTAATGGCACTCGACATAGGTGTGCGGATGAACGGACAGCATAAGGTAATTGGATATGCGGATGACATGGCCCTCCTAGGGCAAACGAAACGAGAGGTGGAGCTGTCTGCACAAACTCTCGCCACCGAAGCTGCAAGAATAGGTCTCAGAATCAACTGCGAGAAAACTGAATATCTCCACATGAAGCGCTATAAAAATACAAGACAGAAACGCGATGATCTTCGAATTGGAGATATGAAGTTTAAAGGCGCCGCTAAATTTAAGTACCTCGGATGCACTATAACGGACACAAATACACGGGCTGAGGAAATAGACATCCGAATTCAAAACGCCCTCCGTTGTAGTGCGGCTCTCCACAAGGTGTTAGTGTCTAAATTGCTGACCAGGACTACAAAGATAAAGATTTATAAAACAGTCATTAGACCGATCCTTCTATACGGCTGCGAAACGTGGACGCTAACACTCAAAGATGAGGAAAAGCTTTTAGTGACAGAACGCAAAATACTGCGGAAGATTCTGGGACCGACACAGAAGGAAGACGGTAGCTGGCGGCCGCGAAAGAACGAGGAGATCGAAAAGCTGTTTGCCGCCCCTAACATCATGGGAGAAGCTCGAGCTCAAAGACTCCGCTGGACCGGCCACGTCGAAAGAATGGAAGAGCACCGAAGCGTCAAGAAGGCGTATCTCGGAATCCCGAACGGCCGCCGACCCGTTGGCCGGCCCAAATACCGCTGGAAAGACGCCGTTGAGCTTGACCTGGTGGAACTCGGTGTCTCCGAGTGGCGAACCGTGACGCAGGATCGGCGGAAGTGGGTTCTCTTGTTGTGAAGGCCAAGACCCACTTTGGGTCGCGGCCACGGAGTAAGTAAGAAGAGATTAGATTAATGAGGCGGACAATTATAAAGATTTTATAGGGTGTTTCAAATTCTCAATACTCATTTGGCAACAATAATATTAAATTAGACCCACTAGTGGTGGGAGCTTAAGACACCTTATTTGAAATAATAATACGTAATATTTAATTAACCTTTACTCAGACTCGCGAGTCAACTTTTAAACTACATGAACGTATTTCTATATAGTCAAAAGGCATTGTACTCAAACTAAACGCCGTTAAAACCAAGTATATGTATCAACATATAGTACCTATCAAGGTACTCCGCAGCTAATAAAAATGGTGGTAAGACCGGGTGTTTTAGAGAAGCTGGTGTCAATATTGAACGCGTAAAGGAAACTCTTTATGTAGAGATATTATATTAGCACCTTAGGTTTTAAAAGAAAATTAACACTTTAATTTAAAGCTTCTAAATCGAATAAGGTATTTAGGGTAAGAAATTTTATATTTTATTTTATTCAATTTGATTTGATCCGAACAATAACGCAAGGAAAGTAAGTTCAAACAAAAACTCATAAATTGAGTTTTCGATTTGTTATATCTATTAATAAATAAATAATATAACACACATAACACGAAATGAATTGCAATGCACAGATTATACATGAATGAAATAAAAATGATTAAGTTTTGGTAAAAATAATTCAAAAACTACTTACGGGCAACAAAGACACACAACGCTACGAACAACTTCATGTCTGCAAGAAACAATGTTCAAGAAATTTAACTTCTCGTATTTATTGTTATGTCTATCTGGATTGTTAAATCTTATCAAATTAATACAGTTTTAATTAGTTTGTTTCCAATAGAATTGTTATCTCTTGTCGAGCTTTGACTCTATCAACCAGCGTCCGTTTTAACTTATCATGGTGTGAAAAGTGAATGAAAATCATTATACAAAATGTTATTTTATCCTCATTCCTTAACTAGCAGATATGGCAGCATTCTGTAGACTTGCACATACTAAAAACTCAAGGTGTAAAATTAAGAAGATTTGATTTTCGTCACGGTGTATTCAGCATGCATATTTGCAGATTTTAGTGAATCGAAGAGGCGAAAACAAAACAGAAATTATGAGAACTATTGCAGTATTTTAAATATTAAACAATTTATATGATAATTTGCATAAGAACAATTTGTTGTTTTGGTAATATCTGCAGAAAACAACTTTTAAAACGCGAGATAATCGTTTAATTCTTATTTTAAATCAAACCGACAAGTGTTTTTACCCATTTCATGGCTGAATACTGGCGTATTGATTGTTAGTGTCTTTTCTGGGCTCAGCTTCATTAGCCATAAGAACTATATTCGTTTTATTAAATAAATCCAGAACCAACTCAGCAAAAATTTAAAATAAACGTGTTTATTTAAATTAATGTTTTTTTTTTATTGACTAATAACTAACTAATATGTCCTTAAATCTTATTATTATGATCTATAATACGTAAAATAAATATAAAGTAACGAAGGTTTTCTAGGAACAAGGTATTTAGAGTTAGTAAAAAAATAAAAAAAAAAAAAAAAAAAAAAAAAAAAAAAAAAAAAAAAAAAAAAAAAAAAAAAAAAAAAAAAAAAAAAAAAAAAAAAAAAAAAAAAAAAAAAAAAAAAAAAAAAAAAAAAAAAAAAAAAAAAAAAAAAAAAAAAAAAAAAAAAAAAAAAAAAAAAAAAAAAAAAAAAAAAAAAAAAAAAAAAAAACCCCCCCCCAAAAAAAAAAAAAAAAAAAAAAAAAAAAAAAAAACCCCAAAACCCCAAAAAAAAAAAAAAAAAAAAAAAAAAAAAAAAAAAAAAAAGAAAAAAACAAAACCCCCCCCCCCCCCCCCCCCCCCCCCCCCCAAAAAACCCCAAAAAAACCCCCCCCCCCCCCCCCGGGGGGGGGGGCCCCCGCCCGGGGGGGGGAGGCCCCGGCGGGGGGGGGGGGGGGGGGGGGCCCCTTTTTTGGGGGGGCAAAACCCCCCCCGCCCCCCCCGGCGGGGGGGGAGGGAGGGAAAGAAGGAAAAAAATACATACTGTAACATTTAACTTTATTAAGGAAAAATTAGCAAGATTTATATGAAATTAGTAGATTAGATTAGTGAGACGGAAATTTGTAAATATTATATAGGATGATTAAGATTTTCAATTCATTTATCTAAGCTCACTATTCTAAGTAACGAAAATATTCTATTATACCCATAACTTAAACATTAGTTAAAGTAAAAGTATTCAGTAAAGAGAGGTGAGTCTGGAGGGGGTAAATTGTTACAGCATTTAGTTACTTTTTACTTAAAACTTCCCTGAAAATTTACATTAAATATTAGATACATAAAATCATATTGTTTCTTTTACCCGAACAATTATATTTTTAACCAATTTAAAATAAGTAGGTTTGCATCTCGATTTGTTTAATTTCTTTTTAGGTTTGTTTGTGCATCTGTCTTAAACGAAACCTAGCTTATGACTTGTAAATTTGTGAAATTTAGCTAATAGGCTGGATTGTGATTGTTGCCTATACTATATCGGTCCATATAGTAAGTATAATGTGAAGGGCCCAATCACTACATTCGCTTTGTGCAGCCAAAAATCCTCGCAAAGGAGACTCCCTTTTTTGCCTAGATGGATAAATGAAATTAAAAAACACAGAAAATTAAATAGGATGGCCTCAATTTATCAAACACTTGGGATCCCATAATAAAAACTCTGGATCGCAATAAACAGGATACCGGCAAAAGCGAAGACATCGTGAGTCAATTCTGCAAGGGCCCGGCCAGCTTCGCTAAATACAAACTTCGACGGAACAGATGGCAGAAAGCATCCGACACCTCGGGCCTTATTTAAAAATAATTTTCAAACTAGTTTAACTAAAATATACCACTTTTAAATCCTTAAAGTGTTTTATTTATTGGTTTTACAGATTGCTGAACGCTGAGGAAACCTGTGGTATAAATAATGATATGAATAATCCTCCGACTTAGCGGGGACGTCACAACACTAGTGCGATGCGATTACGGCGCGCGTCCCGACACTAGCTCAGGAACTGTCAAATACGAACGTTGGCGCGCATTCTGTCGGTTAAGCCTAATTTTGGATAATAAATGAATTTTTAAGAGTTTAACATTGTTTTTCCGACCTAACAGTAATGTCTTGTATAGTGTGTTTTTGTTGTTTAGATATTTCCTTTTCTCAGGAAACATCCTTACGTACTTCGAGGTATTCAAAATAGAATAAACAAAATCGGTTTTGATGTTCCTAAGATTTTATTTTAGCAACATAAGAGATATATTTTTAAATTACAAGTAAAGATGAAATACGTAACAAGACCAATCTCCTATAGAAGTAAACAGTATAGTAAAAAATGTGAGCTCTACCTACACCGTAAAAGAAAAAATTCTTACAATGCCGTATATAATTACGCTTAGCATATGAACATTTCATGTTCTGTCCTTTGTTCAATTTCATCAATAATGATTTTATCTGTTACATATATTTATGGCAAAATAATTAATTAATTTTAAAGATAACTGGACAGGTGTCAGCGATAAAGAGCTCTATAATGCATATAATATTCAGCTTAATATGGCCACTCTGCACCGGTTGATAAGGCAAATAGTCCATATCTGGAAAAAAGGATACATTATTTAAATCTTGGAGATCTTGCGTATTTATACATGATACATAAAATACAATACAAGTGTGTTGAAGACGTAAAACTTGCAATTTAGGCTTTGGAATTCACTGGCTATAATTTTTTTATTAGAATTACGAGGAAAATTAAAATCACCGGTACAAATATCTAATCTACTGATTGCTCCTCAATAAAATTAATAATTAAAAAAGACAGAAACCTGTTTTCTTCTAGAAGAAGCAAACAGATTTCTGAATATTTTCTGTTATTAATAGTAAACGAAAAATAGTTTATCTATTCTATATTAAATACCTTATTTTTATTTATATGTATTCTAATTAAATACTATAGTGAAAACAGTTAAAGATCTTGCGGTTTTGTATACCATTTTCAGCATAGTTTCACTACGTTCTATATAAAAACTCTCTAAAATCTATAATTGCTCTCACCCTCTCTTTCTTAAATGAGAATTTCCCATTTGGTGCATAGTTCCACGGCAGCGGTTGTGTCGAGCTTCAGTAATATCCCTGCAATGTCTTCCAAATAAGTGGTTGTGGACAACACTAGCAGCGAACAACTCGTAGGCACGCGCGTGGGAGCATGGGCTACTGGGACAGCCAGGTTGAGGATCTCTACCCCCATTAGGATAGAAGTCGGCATCTGATATCGGGTCAAAGATTCCTAGAAGACCTCCGTCGGTGTGAATAGTCTCAACGTAGATGCCATCGTGACGGTTCAAAGAAAACCTGTTTCCACTCCATTGAGGACCGGCGGGATCTAGAGCTAAAAAAATTGAATGAATACTGTCTATAGTTTACGGGAGTAGTATACATTTAAATAAAACACTGTAACGGTTTAAAACGCGATATATTAGTTAAACTTATTTGAAAATGATTTTTAACTTCGGCCCGACGTTTCGGATGCTTTGCAGCAGCCATGGTCACGGGGAGACTAAAGATGGAGGATGTCTCTGACGTCAAAGTAAGTAAGCTAGCGTAGCAATTTTTTACTTTGACGTCGGGCCGAAGTTAAAAATCATTTTCAAATAAGTTTAACTAATATATCGCGTTTTAAACCGTTAAAGTGTTTTATTTAAATGTGTACTACTCGCGTAAACTATAGACAGTATTTAGAATAGGGTTTCACAATTTTCAATTGGGATGGGGGACTGCTTAATTAATATAAATTTGTTCATGATAAGAAAGGAAGTCGAAGGGTTCCAGCCAGATAACAATTCATAAGATATGCTGTTGGCTCATTTTGGTTTTGTATAGACGTTGACAACTCGACAACTTGACGTTGGTTCGTGACTGGGACGGAATTTCGATATTCATACCGGCCGTTTATTATCCACATTTACAGACGAAGCCCAACATGTTTCAGTTTCCTGACATACCTCAAAGCCTATTTTTAAATATGACATACATTTTACTCCACTCTGTTTATTATTTATTTCATATAGTCGGTGCGTATGTCTATCTGTTTGGTATAAGGTTTCATCCTTCACGTCAAAGAAGTACTAAAATAATACATAATCGCTTATAATAATTAGCATTCTCATTACAATTATGACTCACCAGTGAGTCGTGCAATTCGACCGCCTACAACACGACCAGCGTTACCAATAACATGACCTCCTAAACTGAAACCAACTAGATGCATATTCCTAAAGTTTCCACCAAAATCACTGATCAACCAATTCAGAAAGTTGCCCAGATGTTGGCCAACGCTGGGAACCGCTAAGACTGCGCTGGTATAAATTCCACCAGCGGCTCCCGACCAATCTACGACGATTATGTTGAAGTCTCCGATTTGAAGATAGGCATCACGAATCATTGGGTTGATTTCCGATGTGCCGCTGCTGATCCATCCGTGGACGATTACCTTGATTGGCAAGCTCGCATTGAAGTTTGAGTTCCTTACTGACGCTACATCGTTCGGTATAAGAAGTTGATGACTTTGTGGATTTTGTCTGAAAATAATCATTGCTTTAGTTTAATATGAATGACAGTTTAACATCTCATCAATTATTAGATCTAATTAACCAGAATTCTACTATTTTAATGATTATTAAACACTGTCTGTAGTTTACGTACGTAGTACACATTAAAATAAAACACTTTAACGGTTTAAAACGCGATATATATTAGTTACACTTATTTGAAAATTATTTTTACTGCACGGGTCTCCCCGTGACCGCGGCTGCTGCAAAGCATCCGAAACGTCGGGCCGTAGTTAAAATAATTTGTTAATATATAATAAATAGCTTTAACTAATATATATAGCGTTTTAAATCATTAAAGTGTTTTATTTATAACAAAAATTAATGTTTTGTTAAAAGAAAAATTTGTTGTATATCATTTATTTAAATATTAAGTTATTTATATTAACTTGACTTGTTCTTAATTCAAAAGAAGAGTCATGCTTTTTCAGTACGTTACTAATGAGAGCTTCAGTGGTTCATTGGTTAACCTCTATAGGTTTTGGGCTCGAATATCCGGAAAATAAGAGTTAAAGTCAGACAAGGCACAAGTGTTTGATTGATTGGTGATAAATGAAATCTATCAATGAACCCATACACTAGAGAAACGGAGTGGAAACTTAATGTATAAATCACTAATTATTAAGTTATTTATAAGCGATCGAGGTTTAAATAAGGTTATTACAAATGCTTATCTGGAATATCACACAGTTCAGTTTCTAGATTACCTGGTGTACAACCAGTACTGATTGTCCTCCCCATTTCTAGGCTGACTTGCTGTAGTTGCTGCTTGTAGATCTACTAAATGAGGTACATTGTCACCATCAGGCATCCATATATATCGACTCTTCCCTTCCACATAGTTACTATTGTCCAGTGGCATGTTGGGAATAGCACCGCCAGCGCATACTAAAAGCATTACACTACGTTACATATTGTTAAATAGCTATTTCTTCCAACCAACTGCAATTGAAACAAAACTATGCAAAGTTCAAAAAAAAACAATTAATATTAATGTAAAATGTGAACCTTAATACAAGTTATAGGTGTAATATAGCTTTTAAAATATCATTAAAGGTTCAAAGTCTATCAGAACGTGATATACTATTGTTGACTTAAAAATGTAAGTAATAGAGGCAGAAATCACTTACACGTCACAAAAAGAGATAAAACTATATAAGATTTCATGACATCAAATAGAAGGATTGTCAGTATTGAACATGTGTCTGGATCCAACTGCTTATATTGTAAGTAAATTTTCCTGTTTTAATCTTATCGTAGCATATCTTTTTTTCACAAAAAGAGTATTATTTAATTGACTAATTGACTTTTAATCTTTTTGCACGAATAACACCTACATCTATACTAATATATAAAGCAACAGCTTTATATATTAGTATAGTATTATTATAGACCTTGTTTGTTTGTTTGAACGCGCTAATGTCAGGAACTACGGGTTTGAATTGAAAAATTACAGTTGTGTTGATTAGGTTAGGTTCGGTTAGGAAGGCTAAGGCTATAGGCTTAAAATAAATATAAAACATCGCTCTGTGACTATTACAAGCGAAGATACGTGAAAATTATTCATCATTATCGGTTTCCAAGGCGTACACTGCTACAACGGTTCAAGATACCCAAAAAAAAGTATGAGAGAATGATTCCTCTTTAAATGATGTAAAGAAAAATCCTCGTTTATCTTTTAAAATTAATTTGCAAGAACGTCGGAAAGGGATAGGACCGACGTCGTGGGTAACAGCTTAAAAAGATGAAGGGGTTTGCCAAAACTAATTTAGATGACCAAAATAACGATTTTCGCGGACGAAGTCGCCGACACAGCTAGTGTTTAAATAAGACCATAAAACGGCAAAGCGACGAAACTATTTTTTTCCGATTTATGAATACTACAAATCAAAACCATAGTTTTTTTGCTGTATTGTATATTATTTTCAAGTAGATCTTGCCTCGCTCGGGACATCGTCTAGTTACTAACGACGAAGCCGATACCCCTTCGTGGCACACTTGGTCTAGATGCAAACTCGCCGAAAAGTCCGGTTAGTATCGGGTGCCCCGGACCAACATACGCAATTATCAATATAAAAAATAGATATTGGAAATTTACATTCTGGATAGTAACATTTTAGAATCATTACTTTAACGCATTGTAGATAATAAAACAGAGTCCAAGAAAACTGACCAAGTGTGCATCGGATCATTCAAGGTTCCGTAACTATTAACTTAGTAAATAATAGTAGAATATATTTATTTATGAATTTCAATGCCAGTTATCATTTCTGGGGATCTGATGTAAAAATTGTCTCGTTTGTTGCATTAAAATATATTCTTATATACATAGCATACATTTTTTCTTAGTCAAACACTAATGAGTATTTGTTATTATAGTAACAGAAATATTTTTCAGTTTTAACTGTCTCTCTATCAGGCCTTTAGAACAAGGTTCTTAAGCGACAGGCAGTTAGCGAAGCCTTAGTAATTTGGTCCTGTTTTCACCCTTCGGTTACGACACCTCTAAAACGATGTAAATGTTGATGTAGGAATCACTTTCAGGGAAAATCGTTTATAATTGATTTTGATAAATTGTGCTTATCGCATCGTAGCTGTACTTATATTCAAAATAAAGGTTTGATACGATCTAAAATAACGAATGGCCTCCGGGGTAATTCATATTTTTAATCTCGATTTTAATCAATCTCATTTTTTTCATTTTTTAAATTATATAGTGCCTTCAAGTGCAATAAGATGTGAAAAATATTAATGTTTTCAAATTTCATTTTCATCTCAGTTGTAACAGTAATATCGAAGAGATTGAGATTTTTCTCTTCTATACCACTCTGTATAGAATTTGTATATAAAAAAATTGCGATAGGCTCATTGGACTGTCAACTGTCTAGCAATGTATGCCTACCTGTCAACGGCTTGTGGGTTTAATTCCCACCTGGTTTTCAGCGATATATTAATCGTCATTTTAAAAAATCTGGATAAATATACCACGTCTACGTCTCTACGTGAAGTCTATTAGTGTGTTGGGTATTCAAAGATATTTCACCTTCTTTCAAGCGAATCCCATGCCTGACTGTTATTCAAAATTGGTAGAAGGAAGTAAGTAAAATACTTGTCCAAGTTAAATTTGGCAGTAAGTACATTTTAATCCACCGATCTCGTGGATTACTCTGATACAATCAAAGGTATTAAGCATTAAGTTCTTTATCAACACATAATGTAATCTACCTAATTTGATTTTCCGGTGGCCTTTTTCTAACTTTGAACCTCTGCTTGGCGCAAAGTTTTTTTAAAGTGGGCTACCTTAATCCTATTATAGTTATTACCTATTTTTATGTTCCTATACTCTTCCTCAAATAGTGCAAACGCGATCAGATGTAACGTAGACAGAGCAACAAAACGCGTAAAACTTTAAATATTGCATATTATTAAATGGAAAAATATTTTGAAGAATTTTTTATTTAAAAATTGCTCAATATATAAATAAAAAATCCTAAAATTTGTTAGAGATTCAAAAAAAAATACTTCTACATTATGTACTTTTAGTAAGTTTCACGAAAAAATATATGAAACCTGTAGTGTTTGAGTAGAACCTATAGTCCTTAGTACGTATGACACTGTCTCGTGCCTACTGTGTGGCGGGGTGCGCGGTCATTGCAGCGAGAGCCAAGGGGCGAGAGCGGACGTGTCGCCTGCGCACACAGTGAGTTGCCGAGCCAGTGAGATTGCATTATAGGGGCACTACAAGTGGCGACGAGGACAAAAGGTCAGACTATTCAATTTATATAATTCAAATTGAAATAAAATAAAAAGGGGTCAATGTACTAAAAAAAAAAAAAGAGAAAAGAAATAATAATGATAAAAACCATTAACACTCAAACCATTGTGAAATTACCTACAGGCAATTACAACCGCTCAAGAGTACAAGTTCATTTGTTTATTTAATTCGTGACTCGTTTTATTAAAACTATGTTAATATCGCTCATTGTTGTTAATAGTTGTGGAATTTAAATAGCTACGTACTGTCTATATTGGCATAATAGTGCCCTTATCGCTGGTGTCACAAACAGGTTGTTACAAATTTTAGTTTTAGACTCCGAATAAATAACTACCCGCTGGTTCGCTGCAACTTGTAAACAACATAGTGCGGGTGCAGATGTTCATAATTATTATTGAATGTTAGTGTGGACCCGATAAAAGTTTTTATTGTGTTACTATGGGTCGGTATACAATATAGTTTATTATTTTAGGTTTATTACAATTATACCTTAATTTATATTGATTACGTATCCTCTAACTGTTACAAGTGGTTTTAGACATTTATTAAAAAATTTACACATTCACTTATTACTAGGTTAACTAGATATTACATTCAAATTTGGACAATATTCTTATTTAACACAACTATAAGAAGGAGGTAGATAAACAGTATGTCTTGGTATTATTATCTAGCTTCGTCGGCGTCTTATGACGTCGTCGGCGCGAACGCAGCTGATCGAGTAACATACAAAGATAAGCGATACTAGATGTACATTCGCACATCACATTAAGTTTATTATTTTTAGACAGAAACATCTAGTTTTAGAGTTTTATGAATTTGATTTATTTTTAGTATTTTCTGTTTTTGCTTTCGATATTTTTTTATTTGTTGTAGGTTGTATCTATGTGCAAAATTTACTTGTTAATAATTAATTTAATTCACATGTTTTTTAGTATATTTTCTTTTATTTTTTGTTTAAATAATTTGTAGGAGTTTATTTGTTTAATTTTATTTTGGTATATTTTTATATATTTTGGCGTATACAAGTACCCACTATATCAACTTAAAATAGAATTGCAGACGTTTTTATATAAATCTACTAGTGTAAAATATATACATCGCCCACTCCTATAATTTTGTGCATACTCATGTATAGCTAGTTAACTCCAAAAAAAAAATGGTACAATGATACCCCCATTTAATTGGAAATAAGTGGTACAGTGATACCTCCATTAAATTGGAAGTCAATGGTATAAAATACCCCCATTCAATTGGAAATTTGTGGTTCATTACACCACCATTAAATTGGAAATACATGGTAGTTTATACCTCCATTAAATTGGGAATCTGGCACATAAGTACCACCATTAAATTGGAAATACATGATAGTTCATATCTCCATTAAATTGGGAATCTGGCATATAAGTGCCACCATTAAATTGGAAATGTACAAACAAAATCGCGAAAGTTTTTTATTATTTTCAGGTCGCCCCTTTAAGCTCATCGCCATGACAAATCATCCTACATTGGAAAAGTTGGATTTGGAGGGAGATAGTGCATCATTAGGCCAACGATGGGAAAAATGGAAACGTTCATTAAATATATATGTAGAGGCTACAGAAATAACAACGTCGATAAGGAAAAGGGCAACACTTCTACTTCTTGGTGGATCGGGCCTTCAAGAAATTTTCTATAGTCTTCCGGGTGCCAATGCTACACCTTCCGATGATAATAATGTTTTTGACATAGCTATTCAGAGACTTGACGATTATTTCACTCCAAAGCAAAGCAAAGTTTATGAAAGACATTTGTATCGTTTAATAAGACAAGAGGAAGGTGAAAAATTCGAAAAGTTCTTAGTAAGGCTGCGGAATCAAGCTGAAAAATGCCAATTTGATAAACCGGACGATCACCTAATCGATCAAATAACAGAGAAGTGCCTCTCTATTGATTTACGGAAAAAAATTTTGACAATAGGAGATAGTGTAACATTAGACAAGATTATCACAGAGGCTAATACTCTAGAAGTTGTAAAACGTCAATTGGAAGAATATGGTCAGCAAACTAAAACAACAGAGGTACATGCAGTGGAGTCTTCAAAAAATAAAGGAAGATTTAGCGGGAGTAGGTTCAGGTCAAATTCAAATAAAGGGTGTGGCAGATGTGGAAATTCGAGACACTTGTCAGATGATAAAAACTGTCCGGCGTTAGGCAAAGTATGCCATGCATGTGGGAAAATAGGCCATTTTAAGCAGTATTGCAAGACACAGGTATTGAGAAAAAGGAAATTTGAAGGAGCTGATAGGAACCGATGGGAAAAACCTAGTAAAAAGCCTCGGAATCAAGGGGAAGTTGACAACATAACAGATGATGAAGTCGATTATGTTTTTAATATCAATAATGATGCAAATATACAATGTGATGTCGGGGGGGTAAAAACAAAAATGTTGATTGATTCCGGATCTAAATATAACCTAGTCACTGACAAAACATGGAACGCTTTAAAAAAGAAAGGAGTTGCTTGCTTCAATCAGGATAAAAACCCGAATAAAACATTATTGGCATATGGAAGTACAATTCCGTTAAAAATTATTGGATCATTTGAAACCACGATCAAAGTGAAAATGCAGAAAGAACGCGCAATCATATATGTTATTGCAGAGGGCTCAAGGAACTTACTTGGCAAAGACACCGCTTGTAAATTGGGTGTCCTAAAAATTGGTTTCGACGTCAACCAAATTAGGAACGAGTGCTTTCCCAAGCTTAAGGATGTGTTGGTAGAAATTCCTATCGATGATACTAAAAAACCTGTTTCACAACCATATCGTCGCATACCAATACCGATGGAAGAAAAGGTACAAATGAAAATAAAGGAGTTACTGGACGGTGACATAATAGAAGAAGTACGGGAACCTTCGAAATGGATATCGCCAATAGTACCTATTCTTAAAGATAACGGTGAATTGCGTTTGTGCGTAGATATGAGACGTGCCAATATGGCAATTATGAGAGAAAATCACCCTTTACCTTCAATGGAGCATCTCTTACCAAAGATAAGGAAGGCACAATATTTTACGAAGTTGGACATAAAAAATGCGTTCCATCAGGTGGAATTACACCCTGACTCCAGATATATAACTACCTTCATTAGCTCCAAAGGTCTTTACCGATACAAACGCTTGATGTTCGGTATAACATGTGCTCCCGAATTGTTTCAAAAAATATTAGAAAAAAATACTCCTTGAATGTGACGGAGCTATAAATTTTATTGACGACATATTAGTGTTTGGGTGCACTGAAAAGGAACATGATTTGCGCCTAGAAAAGGTGTTAAGGGTCCTTAAGGAAAATAATGTTCTTTTGAACGATGCGAAATGCTTGTACAAAGTTCAAAAAGTAAACTTCTTGGGACATGAACTAACTCCGGAAGGGGTCAGGCCCCTACACAAGTATATAGAAAGCGTAACCAAATTCCGAGTTCCGAAGACGATTGAGGAGTTGCAAAGCTTTTTGGGCCTTGTAAACTACATTAACAAATGGCTTCCTAACATGGCAACTATGACGGAGCCCTTGAAACAATTACTTCGGAAGAAATTTGGGAAAAATGCTAATATCGAAGAGTTGTGGACCCAAGAACAGAATCAGGCTTTTGAGAATTTAAAAAAAAGCTCTAACCAAAATTCAAAACCTTGGATATTACGATTTAAACGACAAAACCCAGGTTATTGCTGATGCCAGCCCTGTTGGATTAGGCGCAGTTTTGGTTCAAATTGATAACAAAGGACCCCGAATTATTGCTTTTGGAAATCGCACATTAACTGAATGCGAGCGTAGATACAGCCAAACTGAAAAAGAGGCTTTGGCTTTGGTCTGGGCTATAGAGCATTTCAATATATTTCTATTCGGCAAGAAGTTCGATTTAATCACTGATCATAAACCCTTGGAGGTTTTGTTTGGAGTGAGGTCAAAACCTTGTGCTAGGATAGAGAGGTGGGTACTACGTTTACAGACGTATTGGTATAACATCATATACAAGCCCGGAAAGATGAACATCGCAGACCCATTATCAAGACTGTGCATAATCTCACATTGCAAAAAGACCAATGACGACGAACATGTCAACCAGATTGTAGAAAATGCTAAACCATGCGCGATTTCTATGGCCGAAATAAAAATGCACTCAGAGCAGGATCCGGAAATACGTAAAGTAAAGCAAGGTATCTACGACAAGAACTGGGAAGATAATGTCAAAGGATATAAGATCTTCGAAAATGAATTGTGTTTTTTCGGTGATATACTCCTAAGAGGAAATAGAATTGTTATACCATCTATACTTCGGAAAAGAGTTCTAGATGCTGCACACGAAGGTCACCCTGGGATTGTTGGCATGAAAGGACGGTTAAGGACTAAAGTTTGGTGGCCAAGGATAGACAAGGATTCTGAATGCCTGGTAAAGAGTTGTAAGGGCTGTACTTTAGTTGGATTACCCAATCCACCAGCTCCTATGAAACGTCGGGAACTCCCGGATGCACCTTGGGTGGATACAGCAATGGATTTATTAGGGCCATTGCCCAGCAATGATTATTTATTAGTCGTAGTAGATTATTATAGCCGTTACAAGGAAGTAAAGATAACGAAGACTATTACTAGTGCTGTAATAATCAAACTATTAAAGGAAATATTTGGCCGCCTAGGTTATCCATCATCAATAACGGCAGATAATGGACGACAGTTTGTGAGTGCGGAATTTAAAGAATTTTGTAACGAATGTAATATAAAACTTTTTAATACAGTGCCCTACTGGCCTCAACAAAATGGCGAAGTAGAGAGACAAAACAGAGATATATTAAAAAGACTGAAGATTGGCAATATTGAGAAAAAAGATTTACAAGATAGCTTGAATGATTACCTCATGATGTATAATTCAACACCTCACTCTGTAACAGGGAAAACACCAACAGAACTGTTTTACAAAAGACAGAACAGAGATAAAATACCTATGCTTCAGGATATACATACAGGAGATGACACAGAAGTTAGAGACAAAGATAAAGAACAAAAAGAGAAAGGAAAAGAATACGCAGACGAAAGAAGAAAGGCACAAAATGTGGATTTGAGTGGAGGAGAGAGAGTTTATGTAAAAGAAACAAACAAATGTCACAAACTAGCACCAAATTATAACCCAGCACCACACATAGTTGAGACAGCAAACAATGGAGATATTACAGTCAGAAATGAAGAAACTGGACAGACCCTGAGGAGAAACATATTACATTTAAAGAGAGTAGAAGGTGAGTGGAAATCAATGCAAGGTAACCAAGAACCTAATCTGACAAACAACAGTGTAACAGCAATCTAAATCAATTCGATGAGTTACAGTAAATTGTTAACTGATTTACTATTAAGTGTAATCAAGGTCAATTGTGTCAAATGATTAATAAAGTTTTTGATAAGAAAGAGATGTAGTGTTTGAGTAGAACCTATAGTCCTTAGTACGTATGACACTGTCTCGTGCCTACTGTGTGGCGGGGTGCGCGGTCATTGCAGCGAGAGCCAAGGGGCGAGAGCGGACGTGTCGCCTGCGCACACAGTGAGTTGCCGAGCCAGTGAGATTGCATTATAGGGGCACTACAAAACCATATTGTATATTTGTAAGGGTCATATTGCTAAAAATTAATATATAGAGTCCGTCATCAGAGATATTCAAGTAGGTACACTTTTATCACAGATTAAATTTTCAAAGTCATAATTTTCCTGTTTTTGTTAATTTTTATTTTCATTGTTATCATTATTGTATATTAATTATAAAATTATCAGAAACAATAAGATCAATTTAACAAGTGTTAAAAATAATTTGAAGAGATTATTTTGTATTATCATTTGCATAAGTCTCCTTACTTATATTATTTTTCTTGATCGTGTAAATAAAAAGCAAACATTAACAATGACAGATATTAAAATTTCCACAATTTTATACATTTTAAGTTGTTCTTTTAAAACGGCCAGTTAGCTCCAGTTCTTAGTCCGTAGAGGCCATGTCTGAAAAAAAAAAATTGGGTGTACTGTTAGTCACAGTTTCTTTTACGTAGTACACAACTCGATGAATCTATTCATCAGATTTTAGAAAATAAAAACTTACCCATGCTTTCCAAGGTATGCGTTGCCCATGTGTAAAGCGTTACCGTGGCAATTGGACAGTTCCGCCTCCCAGACATTGGGGCACTGTCTCCCGACCAAATGCCCATGGTGGACAGTTGCAGCGAAGAAATCGTTAGCGCGCGAATGCGAGCAATCGCTTAGAACACAGCCTGGTTGTGGATTTTTTCCGCCATTCGGATAGAAATCGGCGTGTCCTATTGGATCCATCAGACCAAGAATATGGCCGTCTGTGTGAATGGCTTCGACGAATCTGCCAGAGTATCTGTTTAGTGCCAGACCATTTCCGTGCCACGATGGACCAGCTGGATCTAAGCCTGTTAAGATTATTAGAATTTTGGAATAGTAAATAATATGCGTGTGCAACGCAAGGCATACATAGATCTTCTTAAGCATTGTATCATATTTATTATAGCCCTGGGTCTTTCAGGTCAACATGAACTACAAGGATCTTTAAGAATTGTTCTAATCTACTGTTTTCCAATCTTTTTGAATTGACTAAGCAACTCATATATTTTTTATACATGTGGAGTATGAATACATTTACGAATATATTTTTCTAAACCTTACCTGTAACTCTTCGAGCTCGACCACCGATTAGCCGTCCAGCATTACCGACCACATGAGCTCCTAAACTGAAACCGACCAAATGTAGCTGGTCCCAATTACCACCGGCTGTGTTGAACACGAATTGAATGAAACGTCCCACATGGTTTCCGACGTCGGGAACGCCTGCAGCAACCTGGGGGTAATTCAAATTACCAGCGATACGACCCCAGTCCACGACGATAACGTTGCAATCCATAACAGCGAGGAATGCGTCTCTTATTATTATATTCATATGTGAGTTGCCGTCGTTCCTCCAACCGTGCACGATAATTTTTGTTGGACGGTTGCCTCTGTAGTTAGAGTTTCGTACAGAATTCGCGTTTCCATTGTATAGAACTTGCCTGTGGTGTGGGTTTTGTCTGAAATAAAATTTTAATTTATCTATTATTAACGAAACATCGTAGAAGTAGTTTTTTTTATTACAACAATTAACAAGGCCTACTAATGATAATTCTTATGTATACCCTGGACGCACTACGCATATATTTTTAATTAGAGTCAGCGGCGTTCAAGAAATAAGCTTTCTGTTGTAAAATAGGTTTGATATGCCTAGGCAAATCGCATTTAAATTAAATTTTTATCTGAGTGACCTCGTAAATAACCAGTATTGATTGTAATGTCCGTTTCTTGCATTTAGAGAGTCCATATCTACTGGTTGGTGTAAATCAACAAGATGGTGAACTCCTTCATCGTCTGTCATCCAAATATAACGGCTCTTCCCTTCCACATAATGACTATTATCTCCTGGAATCGTTGGAACCTCGTTGGCTGCAACGACTGTAATGAAAAAAATGGTTATAATAATAATACAACTAAATACACATTCTAATTTTGAGGTATATTAAACTGCTTTTGTGGATGATTGTGTCGGTCAACAAAGGTCTCCAATATACAAAGGACAGAAATGTCTTTACTGTCGCGAGACAATACACAACACAAGACCTGGACGCCGTCAAAAAAAGTAATGTGTACAAAATAAAGTTAATATAAAGGTTGATACACACCTAGACATGAAGCCAAGAGTAATACGAAGACCCTCATGATGGAAGCGTTACAGAGAATGCCCAATACATCCCGTGGGTTTATTTATATTATACTTTTATATCTTATCAATATAATTGGCTGTTATTTTGTCTTAATTATCGATAACTCACTAGATTGTATTAAATATTATAGGGTAGAACAGCTTAAACATTAACGATAAGGTGCTTTAGATTTTGCTTTGTAATGACGATTTAGGATAGTTTCATTCAATACCGAGTATCATATTGTGTTATAAAAATACTAAAAAAATATTTATCTAATAGTTAAACTATTTATTAAAAAATCCCACATCACCGTTTATTTAACTGTATCTCGTGCATCGTTATGGATATTTTGTGTAAAAAAATAATCCTTGAGCTCTTTTAAATCTAAAAAATAAGTAATGATATTTAAATAATTATTCTATTGAATCTCAGAATTATAAAATTTAAGAACGTTAATTGGTTTCGCAAATTTGATTTCTAAATGTTTTTTTGTGGTGTTTTGAATAATGGTGGTGGCAAAACCATATTCACATTTTACGATTGCTGAGGGCCTTACCTTCTAAGGACATCGAACACTGGTCTCTGTTTTTGGTTCTAAATCTACATTATGTGGGGGGGCTATAAACTTTCGGGATTTCAGTATCTTTTGTTTTTAAAATCCAATTTTTCATATCTATTTTTCCATCTAATTGTTTAAGTAAGTCGGAACCTATTAATTTTCCATGATTATTATCTACGTCATATATATAAAATTTTGTGATATTCAAAGCTTTTAAATGTTTGTAATAATGGAATATAATCTACTTGATCGTGGAAACTTTCGGCATATGTACCAATTACTTCAAATTGTGCGTAATACTAGTAATCGGAAAAATACTTGTGAATGAGGGGCTTATAAAAGATCTAGTGCTACCTGTATCTATCATTACTTTCGAATTTATTTTGGGCGTTTCTTTATGGGGTATTTTTTGGGCTCCGTGACGATTGAGGTATATTATTTCTGAATTTCCGTCTCCGAGGCCGTTGTATGAAATTTTTCATTTTCCGGTATTTCTGTTAGTATACAATTAGTTGGTTAACACAATCTTTATAATTATTTTCATGATAATAGGATTATGATATAGGAGGATTCTTGTTGGTCATAGTAATGTGATTCAAATTCTTCGTAATTATTTTGTGACGGTTCTATAGTGTAAAAGAGATTATTTTCAGTTCGTTGCGGTATGTTAAGTTTAGGTTAGGTTGTTCTTATTGAAATATCGTTTTCATATTTGAATGGTTTTGTTTGATTTTGGGGCACGCCGAATTTAAATTGTTGTTGCTGTAAATTTTGGGGTCTATATTCAAATTGTTATTGGGGGGTTTTGTGATCGATTTTGGGGAATGCCAAATTTAAAATTATTTAAGTTAGAACGGCAACCTTGAAGTGCAATTGTCGTTTAAAACCTTGGGGTTGGTTTATCATAGAACGAAAGCCTTGAGGTTGAAATTGTAGTGGTTTAATTTGTTGTTGGATACCGAACTTAATGTTAGAGGTAAAATTAGGAGTGAAATTAGGGGTAAATTAGGTTTTCTATTCATTACTGAATTTTGACCGTATTTAAGTTTGTTATTATTTTTGGAGTTGTACTGATTAATGAAATCTACTTCTGACATGAGTACAGGTAGAGTTTTTTCTAATTTCGTGCAGCGATGAAGACTGACAATTCGTATCATGTCCTCCAGGAGATTGTATAAGAAAACCTTTAGGGATAAATTATTAGTGTAAATGTTTATCTTTGCTTCTTTAACGCTATCATCATTTATTAAATTGACTTTTGAAAATAAAGTACTACGAATACTCTGAATACGATTGCAGAAATCTAGAAAAGATTCGATTTTTGATTTTGGTATTTTCTCATTCAATTGCTATGCACTCCTCCGAACGAGGGTCCCCAAAATGTTTTTCTAATAACATTTTTAATTTGTTTCAGGATGTAATATCCTGCCTTTCGCTAATTAAATGAGCCTTTAGCCAACCAAACGACTAGTATTCGGATGAAATACGTATGTATCTTGGTAGCTAGTAATTGGTACAAATCGTGCCGTTCTAATTACATACTCGCTTTTTTTAGTGTAAGAATTTAATAGTTTTTCATTCCCGTCAAATTTCGGAATGATATTTAGTAGTTCATTGGGAATTACCCTAATGTTCTGCATTTTTTGTGGTATTGAATGAATACCATGAATTACCTGAAACCCACAGTATAATATAAAAAACACACAATGAAATACAACAAATCGGAAATAGAGTGAATAAATACAGGACTGTGAAGAGGTTTACTCACATTAATCTACCTCTCATCCCGAATAAAGTTATAAATTTCGCTTTTTAATGGCTATTATTTGACGAATTCATTTGGTTATCTGGATAATATCCTTATTGTGTATAAACACATCCAATTTACGCCAAAGACCGGTTGCTTGTACCTTACAAAAAGCAATAAAATAATTCGTAGGATATATCCTACGAGTTCCAGTTCCAGTCAAATTGAGACGTGTCCGATAAACTTAAAAAAAACGAATTTATTAAAATTAAACTGACTTAATTTTCTCATAGTTCCACCATCCCAAATACGCTTGTTTATGTTAACGCTTCTGAGAACTCTATGTAAGGTCTGCTTATCCAGCTCTAAGTCTGGGCTGCTGATTGCTACTTCCTTAGTATGGGATGCTGTAATTAGGTAAGTAGGATTTTTGGTTGTAAAGATAAATAACTTAACACATCCACTTGTCTCTTTGTGTTATATCTTATTGATAAATTATAATATTGATTAAAAACTGTTTGAAAACTTCGCTATAATTAGGTTTAGTGCTGATCGACGTCTTCCCGCTTTTCCCGATCGAACCGTCAAGGATAAAGTGAAGTTAGCTACTATGTTTCGCGTTTGAAACACTTAAAAGTATAAAACGTACCGTAAAATTCTTGTGTATTAAAGTTATATTTTATTATTATATAACCTGAAAAACTTGGTATAATCGCAAATCAAGAGTGTACATAATATAAAAAAACATAACATATATTGGTAGGATTTTAGTGATTATACTCTGATACAATCGAAGATTATGAAGTATTAATGTTTTTATCAACCCATTAATAAATGTGGAATCTACCTAACTTAAATTTCCGGTGGCCTTTTTCTAAATAATCGAACTTTGTACCTACTCTGTTTGGTGCACAGATTATGGCAATGAGCCACCCTAATCCTTATATAATATTTTTATGATCGTTTACATTTCCCCAAACAGTGCAAACGCGATATGTCATGTAGACAGAGTAACGAAAGTCCTAAAACTTTTCAGTATTTTTTTTAATCTTTTATAACATTAGTAGGAAATATATATACCTATAACATATATATATATATATATATTTTAATTTTCTTATTAAATGGTTGGGAGGAATAAAGTAATTTCGTCCGGGCCACGAACGCCGCGAACGGTGACAGATGAAAACGCCTTAAAGCTTTATCGCGTTTGGGTTTCTTGGTCTGCTGATTTCCGGATATATAAAGCCAAACAGGTTGACATCGCATCTTGTTTAGATGCTATAGGCTGGGGTATAACACCTACCATCAAGTAAACCAAATACTTGTCTGTCCTCATCTATGTTTAAAAAAAAAACCTTCGACATTACGGACATTTAGTGAATTTTATGGAAAAATATGTCGAAACTTATTGTGTACCTACTTATGAAGGTGATATTGCTAAAAATAATATACAGAGTTCGTTAATCAGACTCATGTACACTTTTATCATAGTACATTTTGATAGTCATAACTTTCCTGTTTTTATTAATATATTTTTTTAACTTCAGTGTTATCTTGTTTAATAATTATCAAATTACCTGAAATAATAACATCGATCAAATGAATGTAAACAATAATTTTACGGGATTATTTTGCATAGGAATACAGGTCCATCATCATAATTATATCGTATAAATAACAAAATCAAAATAATTTCAGATATTATATTAAAATTTCGCTAATTGTATACATTTTTAAGATGTTCTTTTAAAACGGCCAGTTAGCTCCAGTTCTTAGTCCGTAGAGGCCATGTCTGAAAAAAAAGCATAATATAGGTACTTAAGTGTCTATGAATTTATTCACAACCTACCAACCTACACTGAACCATGTCTATATGAAAATTAAATTATGTTTCAACTTGCTTAATTAAACTAACTTCAACACAGACGGAGAGCGCGTTAAGCTGCCGGTGGCTTTGAGACCTGCCGTGTCATCAAATGTAGTTTAATAATTTAAATACGTTTAAAGTTTTTCATATAATACTTAATATATCTTTCATTTATGTAATCAATGATCTGTTATAAAATTACTTCTATAGTTTCTTTTACCTAGTACACAATGTTTTAATGCTATTCATCATTAAAACTTACCCATGCTTTCCAAGGTATGCGTTGCCCATGTGTAAAGCGTTGCCGTGGCAATTGGACAGTTCCGCCTCCCTGACATTGGGGCACTGTCTTCCGACCAGATGGCCGTGGTGAACAGTTGCAGCGAAGAATTCGTTAGCGCGCGAATGCGAGCAATTGTTTATGATGCAGCCTGGCTGAGGATTTTTCCCGCCATTCGGATAGAAATCGGCGTGTCCTAGTGGATCCATCAGACCAAGCATATGGCCGTCTGTGTGAATGACTTCGACGAATCTACCAGAGTATCTGTTTAGTGCCAGACCATTTCCGTGCCACGATGGACCAGCTGGGTCTAAGCCTGTTAACATTATAAGGATTATGTACTATAGTGGGAATATAAACCTAAAATATGTGCAGACGCATGCTTTAAATAAACAATTATAACCTAAGTATTCTATCATGCTTATTATAGCCCAATGTCCTTCAGACCTACATTAAACTAGATACTTCTTTTATGAATTGTCTAATATTTTTAATTGATTAAGCAACTCATATATATTTTTATAAATATGGAGTTTGCATACATTTTCAAATAACTT